TGTCATGTCGTGAATGTGTTGACACAGCTTGCAACAGAGAATCTCAAAAATTGTTTCCTTTTTCATCAAATTGAAAACAAGATCAGTCCAGGACATTGCAGTTAACAAACGGTGTTATATACTCAGCTAGGTGACTTTGGCCTTGCACGATGGAAGTCAACTGAGGATCCAGTTCAGACCAAAATACTTGGCACTTTTGGGTATAACCTCCATTAGCTTTCCACTAATAATTTCTTTGTTTGATACCAAATGTTTTAAATTAAGTATTTACTGAGTACTTTGATTTGTTTAGGTATGTTGCTCCAGAATATGCAGAGAATGGATAGTTTCAGTGAGGACGGATGTCTAGCATTTGGCATAGTTTTGATACAATTATTATCAGGACGCAAGGTGTTGATACAAGAGAAGAAGAACAACATCTCTGAGAGAATGGGTAGTAATACATGGTCTTCTTCTTGTCCTTTTGTTTCTAAAAACTATTAAATTACTTTCAAGTTTCAAGAAGAGCATTTATCTCTGAAGTACTAACCACAATTATGTGGTCACATTTATGCTCAGTCTCTGGTAATTTTAGGCTGAACCATTGATTGAGGAACGTGCGTTACATGAACTCATCGATTCTCGTATCGAAGATGTCAGATATACATATGAAATATATGTTATGGCTAAAACGGCTGGCTTATGTATAAAAGGAACCCTGAAATGAGGCCATCCATGGGAGAGGTGATTACACTTTGACTTCATCATTCTTAAATTTTTGGAAAATCTTTATTAATCATCTATGGCATACATACAGGTGGTGCGCCTTCTTGAAGGGGAAAACAATTTGTCTAATCAACATAGCATCATGCGGAAGATACAGTGCTCATTAATTTGTTTTGGTGATAGTATTACATGTTTCTCTTATTTGCTGTTTGTATACCATATCTTCTTCTTTTACTGTTTTGGGGCCATTGATTTGGTGTCTCCTGGTTTTGGAAAAGATTACAACCTGTCTACATACATATAAGTCTTCAACATTAAAGTTTAATCAATATAGCAGCAAAGGGTAAGTTTAATTTTCTTCAAAAGTTGAGTTGAGTGTGAATTTTGACCGTGTAAATTAATGTTTCTATATATATCCACTGTGTTATATATATGTTTATAATATACATCTGTGATTAATGAAGATTATACTCTTAATATCTAAATATGTTAGTATCGCCTATCATGATAGGGAAAATTCAAATTAGGAAAGGATATTCAAATACTTGCAATGTAAATTATAATAAGATTTGGGTGTAAAGCTGATCATAAAAATAAAATTACATTGAGTGGGTGTGTGTTAAGTTGACATGAGAGTGAAGTGGTGGTGAACTGGGGGCATGTTAAACTTTGTATGGAATGGTAATCACATATCTGAGAATGCAACATTTAAGGAAGATTAATAGGTTGATGCTTAAAGATCCATGGAGATTGATGCGATAAGGCTCAAACAACTACTATGTTATTAAGTCGATAATCTAATGATAATTGATTGATAATGCTTTTCTTATCAACAAATAGACAATCAAAATTACTTATTAGTAAGCAATATGCATGGCTTAGAGAAATTGTTCTCTAGCTAATCAAATCTTGGCAGATCCGATCCACCAAACGAATAATATGATTCATCAAATTTTGAAGCACTAAACTCTAATACATGCATACAACCATCTGAGGCGTGGAGTAAAAGGGGCTATAGAAGTGGACTGAAAAATAGTAGCTACCACAAGCTGAGGTGAAGAATAGTATAAACTGTAGAATACAAAAATATATATGAAAAATATTAGGTTTCGGGTTGCTCCATCCATACAGCAAAACGATGAGATTACGTTGAAATGGACTTGAATTTTGGCAGGATCCACTCCCCCTTTAGCTTACCACTTACAATAAGAACAAAAGTTGAAAAACACCATCTCTCGGAGAAAAAGGAGAAGCAATTCATCCACACAGTGAGTGAGCTGGGATAAAGTAATTGGGTTTCAGAGCTAATCAAAATATTATTTATTATTTTCTCTAGGCTTTATGTGTTTGGTAAACGCATGATTGACAGCAGCTTTGAATTAGAGTGAAAAATGAAATAGTGGAAGAGGAGTGGAGTGGTGAGCAAAGAATCCCAACCATCAGGGACCATGAAAAGGAGAGCGCAACAAGAAGAAGGTTATAACACTTGAACCAACAGAAATTTGGAAAAATTGTCGTCCTCTTCAAGCTTTGTAGATTCCTGAACCGACACTTGGATCAATTTATTTTTAAGCTTTTTTTGTTTTCCTTTCATTGAAGTAGTAGTTATTATTTGGAAAAAAAATTAATGAATAACTTACTTATGATTATTATATATAGATAGGACAAGTTCCAAGAGTTAGTATACAAAAATGAAATCCCTTGATCAATCATGAATATGGTCGGGTCCACAAATTGTGTTTCAATTAATATTATACACGTTTTAATTGATTCAGTAGTTTTATTTTAAAATTAAATTTTTATTGTGACAGACACAACACAACAGAAAAGTTTAGGAACGAATTGAAGGCAACTGGCAACGTCAATTACAAATCCAATGGGTCCTCAAAAAAGGTGTGGTGGACGGCTGAGATCCTCTTGCAAAGGCATTACAGAATCTTTACAAATCTTGCAACTTGGCCCATTTGCATTTTCTACACCTGCCCGGTGCCCACTTGCTCTCGTCTTTCTTAATTAATTTTGTTGGATTAGGATTTCTTTAATTAATTACCTCTTTATTTAATACAACAAAAGCCAGAGATTGAGGGGCAAATCAAATAATTAATTAAATTATTTAATGCCACATACATAAGTATGTAATTAGAGCCTATTCAGTTTATAAAGATCATCTTATAAGCAGTGGTGCTTATATGTTAATTTGAGCTTATAAGTATTTAAAATTTTAAACTATTATGCGTTTAGTAAAATACTATAAGGATTGATATAAATGTTGACGTAACTAGTAAAAATGCTATAAACATATTTTATTATTAAATGCTATAAAAAAAACTATATTATTTTTTCAATAATAAATTATATGATGGATTTTAAATTAAATAGAGATAATATAATATACTTAGTCAAACTGGCTTATAACATAGTTATAGCTGAAAAAAAAAAAAAAAAAAAAGTTATAAAAAAATAAATCAACTTAATTTTAGAATTAAAACTAATTTGCCAAATTGAGTGTAGACAAATACCCTTTTAATTATAAAGCACTCATTAAAAGTGACCAATATTAAACAATCAATAAAATATGAGGTTCTCAACTTCGCATTTGTACACATAGATCCAAATAACCTAACTATATATGTATGTAGTTGAGTTAAGGTTTATTTTCCTTAATTCATAATCATTTAATTAAGGCAAGTTTAATAAATAAAGAAGCATCATTTTGATAATTTGAATGTAGGAATTTTGTATTAAAAAAGTAGAAGCATGTGATCCCGATTCTTTGAAAAGACAAAAGCAAACTTAGATTGAATTAAAATACATGACTCTCTGCTTTTAATGAATCACTAAGTTTGAAAGAATTCGATTCCTCTCTTGGTTCTAATAATTAACATCCATTAACCAATACTACATATCTTATAATATTAATGTTTAATTTGACTTGTCAAATTTATATTCAAGGTTAATTTTCTGGTTGTGATTTTTATGAGCATTGCCTCCATATTTAACATATAGGAAAAAGGAAATAAATAAAGATGTAAGATAAAGGTATTTGATTTAATCCCAATTTATTTCAAACTTTTTCTATCCTTTAAATAATTTCCTACTCATATATCTTCTTTTTAATTTCCCAGAATTATATGTTTAACATTACCATATTTATAGGGGTTTTGGTAATAATATCAAAAAGAGGTATTTAAAGTTTTTGACAAAATTATCCTGAAAAAACATTTAATTTACAAAATTCGTCCAATCAACCAAAAACTCTGAAAAGAAAATATCTTTAAAAGAGAAAAAAGTAGAAATACTTTATGAAGATAATCAACTGTATCTAAATATAAAATTAAAATTAAGCTACAATATTTCTTATATGGTAATATTTAGCTTAAATTACAAGTTTTGCCTTGTCTGTAGGGTCTATTATCTTTAAGTCCAAGAACGATCCTCATTTCTCATCCATTTTGTAAAACAATTGATCAATCATTAAATTAACAATTGATCAATAAGAACAACCAATTGCGAGTTGTTACATCAATCTTATGAGAGAAAGAATAAGAAGTTGTTTGTTAACCTATATATATATATATATACTATATATATATATATATATATAATATATCAACACCACCCCATCATATCACCTTTGATTTTATCCTGATAATGAATCAACGGTGCGCTCCATCCCATCATGCTCACATTATCTACAACACCGTGCCTAAATGCTCGCAGGGTAGTTTTGTCCTTTTCTTATTCACTTTTGTTTCTCGTAATCTGCACACACAAGGACAAGGTACAACACAAAACAACTGTGCATCTCTGCGCACCGATCAACCACCGTCACAACTCACAAGCATCCCGCGCCTAAAATGCGTGGAAGCCACCACTCTCTAAATGTAATATTATTTAACATAAAAAAATTATTTATTTGAGAACATTATAATAAGAGTCAAGAGATGTGTTTGCAACTAATGTAGATGATATTGAAATAAATCTAATTAAAATTCTTAAGGATTTATAAATTTTAAACCAATTTATTTAAGATTGAAATTTGAGTCGATAATTCAACTTAATGGGTATTTATTATAATATATAAAATAAAAACTAAAGAGCGTGGATTCACTTGTTAGAGTGAGAGGGTGAGAAAACAAAGATCACACACAAGTGACAACACGAAGGTGTTTGGTGGCCGCGTTATTACTGAGTAACAATTTAATTTTTAATTAAAATTAATCAAATATTAAAAGGGTTTTGCCTGTTCATGCCACGCCGATCACCAAGTGTTGGATACAATTTTTAAAGGCTTTCTATTCCAATAGAACATTTGAGAGAGAGAGAGAAAAAAGACATAATAAAACCTATGTCAAGACTCAAGTCAAGTGCTTTTCCGACGTAGAAAGCAGAGTTAAAAGCTATAAAACCACTCCCTTCTGCTTCTGCTTCTACTTCTACTTCTTTGTTACCCACCCACCCCTTCTTTCTAACTCTCTCTGTGTGTTGAAGATGTGAAAGTGCTTTTGCTTTCTGTTGGAATTTCGGAGGAACTTTAATTTCAAGGTAATTAGTTTAGTACATATGCATGCATTTCTCTCTTTCATTTATATTAAGGATTCCAATTCTCAAACTTCTTCAATTGACACCTGTTCAGTCTCTGATTAATCTCGATTTCCCATTTTTCTTTTACAACGATTCTCTTTTTCCTTATAAATACCAATGAGTTTTAAAAGTAAATTCTCGACACGTAGAGAGAACAACAGAATTCATTCTTTCTCCTTCATCATCTTAAACGGAGAATTGATTTTCTGTGTTTGGCTTTTCTGCTTTTCATCAGGTTTCTTCGAGATTTCTTCGCCTACAGAAATCAAGTAACTGCAACTTCATCATCTCAATTCTCTCTGTAAGTTCTCAACTTTTTTACGAATCGTCAATTTTGACAGCACCGTATCTTGTTGTTCTTACAATCATTACAAGTGGAACTCTGAATTGTCTGTTTCCTGCAAAACTATTGCAGTAAATGTTTTATTTTTTTTACGTGCAACACTGCAAACATTAGAAACGACACAGTAAGACTAAAAACAGAAGAAAATTTCAGAGTTTTTACGTACCAGCATGTGATGAATAAAAGGTTTAAGGAAATACAGCTGGGAAATTCTGTATGTGACAGTCTGAAAAAAAGCTGTAAAATTTAATAGGTGGCGGCTTAATTTGGCAATATGGGGCAGTGTTTCTTGATTGGAGCAGGCAGTCTGCATATACTTTTAGGGATTGTAAGGCTGTGATTTATTACAGGGGTGACAGATGGATGGTGACTGGTGAAGGTATCTCTGGTTATTATTGGGACTGTATGGATGCGGGTGATGCATGGGCATACTTATTAAAGTTAGGAATCTAAATTTATTTATGTCAACCCAATAAAGTTGTTTTGGTCCCGTTGTGGGGAAATTTTTTGACACCCTTAAAGTTTCATTTGAATACAGTCACCTCTCCTCCTCTGATTTTTAGTGTATTATTCAAACACCCCCAGAGTTAGAGAAAACTAGCTGATTTCCCCTACACATTTTAGTCAGATGCGCTGAAGTTTCTCAAATTACTGTTGAACTCCCCTTTGCTGGGGGAGATTGTATAATTCAGTAAGATCTTAAGAGAGATTAGTTACAGCTTGTAGAGGATGTTAGTGATCATTCCTAAAATGTAGGGTGTTTTTGGAAATTAAGAACAAACCTCAAGGGACGAGCAAAATTAACTTGATTTTGTATAATTATATAATTAATAATTGACCCATTCGTCGAATTCTGATTTCAGTCGATTTTATTTTAGAATTCTCTTGAAAAAAAAAAAAAAAAAAAAAAGTCAACTTGTCATGGATAGGTAAAAGACTTTTATTCTTTCTATTTTGAGGGGAAGGAAAAAGCTTTTCCAGGAAGAAGAAAAAAGCATAAAATAATTTTTTGAAGGGGCAATTGGTTGGGCATTTGAATATTAATCTACACATACAAACATTAGGGACATATATTTTATTGTAAAGAAAGTGTCTTCAAAGACACAATGATGTAACGCCGCCCTTTCATTAAAGATTTTCAGATTAAGAAATTACATAGTGCTTCATTATGATGATCATATGCGATACGATAATATATATTATGAAATATATGGTGTTATGTTCCAACATCTGGGGCTGTGAAAGACTTTAGGTTACTAGGCCAATCACAGGCTTCCCACATCATCCCATGTTAGATATATGCTTTCTTTGTTTGCAGAACTGCAATGAAGTAGAAGTAGTGACTCAATGAGCAGGTCTACGAACAAAGGATTGGCTTTGTGACTCTGTCGTTCTGGATGGTTGTGCGAGCTAAATCCTCAACAAGTAGATCTTCTCTGTAAGCAAGGTACTATCCAAAGGACTGTCCTAGTTAAATTACACATCTTGGCATTCGTGCATCATTCGCATCAACCTTTTACTTTTTTCCAGATAGTGCCATCAGTTAAGTGTGTTAATTTCTNAGGGGAAGGAAAAAGCTTTTCCAGGAAGAAGAAAAAAGCATAAAATAATTTTTTGAAGGGGCAATTGGTTGGGCATTTGAATATTAATCTACACATACAAACATTAGGGACATATATTTTATTGTAAAGAAAGTGTCTTCAAAGACACAATGATGTAACGCCGCCCTTTCATTAAAGATTTTCAGATTAAGAAATTACATAGTGCTTCATTATGATGATCATATGCGATACGATAATATATATTATGAAATATATGGTGTTATGTTCCAACATCTGGGGCTGTGAAAGACTTTAGGTTACTAGGCCAATCACAGGCTTCCCACATCATCCCATGTTAGATATATGCTTTCTTTGTTTGCAGAACTGCAATGAAGTAGAAGTAGTGACTCAATGAGCAGGTCTACGAACAAAGGATTGGCTTTGTGACTCTGTCGTTCTGGATGGTTGTGCGAGCTAAATCCTCAACAAGTAGATCTTCTCTGTAAGCAAGGTACTATCCAAAGGACTGTCCTAGTTAAATTACACATCTTGGCATTCGTGCATCATTCGCATCAACCTTTTACTTTTTTCCAGATAGTGCCATCAGTTAAGTGTGTTAATTTCTCTCCAATTATGAAGTCATTGATCCTCATCGTTCTCTGGGTTGTATTTGATACGTATGAATAAGATTTTTATAATAAGAAGTTGATACGTTTAAGCCTACTAATTAATAAGACAAAAGTTTTCTCAATAGGATTTGCACTTTGAACTTTCAACACCTACTGACTTTTGCATCTTTTTACTTTCCAATTGTCTCTTTATAAGAAGTTCTTCCTTCCAGAATGCTATGACTGACTAATGATATCCCACGTTGCAGAGGAATTAACTCCTCTGTGACACAGGAAGGCAGAGGCATCAATCTGGTTGATTAAAGTCTGATTTAAATGGCTAGTGCTTGTTGGCCCTACTTCGATCCCGAGTATGAAAACATGAGCATCAGAATTAATCCTCCAAGGTTAAGTATCTCTTCACGTTACACTAATGTTACAATTTTAAATATCCTTTCTTTATATTGGCTCAATGAGCCAGAGACTAAACAACTTGGTGGAAATGAAAATGAATCTTACGGATTTTTCAATATGGAAACTGATGTTACTAATGAATTCTGCAGATTCAGTAGCTTCATGAGTTGCAATTATCATCTTGAATTGCTTTATTAACCCACTCAAATTGGGTTTGCAGGGTGTCTGTTGATAATTGTAGTTGCCGTGAGTGTACTCTAGTCAAGGTAAATTCCCATACATATCTAAATTTTGCTTACTATTGACCTCCAGGCACCAGGGTACAGATACGAATTAAATTAACCAAGCTTTTGCAATGCTATACGGCAACAGATCAAGGGTGAATAAGAAATGAGAATCTAGGATTTTAACATTCCTTTACCATAGAGTTTTAATGATATATATTTGAAATATTGCATGCTTGTCATTATCATTGTCCTTAAATGATAAAGGTTATGGACTGTGATATATAGGTTGACAGTGTGAACAAACCTGGAATATTACTGGAAGTTGTGCAAATTCTATCAGATCTTGACCTTATTATCACAAAGGCTTACATTTCCTCTGATGGCGGATGGTTCATGGATGGTATGCATCTTTTAATAAAACTGGATGTTTCTTCATATGCACTGGGATGCCCCAATTTTATCTAGCCATGAACGTTTCACAGCACTAATACATTAACTTTTTTGTCATGGTAAACTGACATTTCAACCAAATTCTTATAATCCTCTCTCATATTGGATAAAAAGTGATAATTCTGTTATTTTCCTTTGAATGAACAGTATTCCATGTCAATGATCAACAGGGGAAAAAGATTACAGATAGCAAAACGATTGACTACATAGAGAAGGTATATGTCCCTTCTATTTCCATTATTCATTTGCTTTTAAGTATTTTAAATTTTATCAGAGCAGGGGATATCTAATCCAACTTACTGACATGGAAATCTATACATAGCAGCAGGGCATGCCAATGAACCAACCAACTTGAAAATAATTAAATTCTTAGCCTTTCCATGATTAATATAGTACCAAAGTTTTATCCGTCTAATCATAGTATTCATTTATTTCAAATCTTCACCATTCTGTCTAATTTTCATCTTGGTGTATGTCAGGAAGGAGCAGGTTGCATACTTTATTATTCCCTAACTAAATCAAAAGTCATATGTGATTGGAAATGAGTGACCTTTACATGTTAGTTTAGGCTTCCAATACACAATTAATGCAGCTTGGTTCATGGAATTTAAGAGTATGGTCAAGGGCCATCACCAATCTACATATGCATACTTGTTTAATCTTAACTCTAGTTATAATCTAAGTGGAACAATCACCCTTCACAGGAAAGCGCAACATAACTGTTTTAATGACAATGTCTTAGGAATTCCTATTAAAATTTCGTGTCAGGGCAGAATATGATGAAATGCAGAAATGGAGAAGCTTGGTGAACCCTCGCATGTTATAGTTTTTCTATAGACATATGGGGAATGATTTTTTTTGTTGTTTATGAAACAACAGGCTCTAGGACCAAAGGCCTACATCAAAGATGGAGTCAAGTCTTGGCCAAGCAAACAGGTTGGTGTGCACTCCGTTGGCGATCATACAGCCATTGAACTCATTGGCAGGGACCGCCCAGGTCTCTTATCCGAGATATCTGCTGTCCTTACCAACCTCCGGTTCAATGTGGCGGCTGCTGAAGTTTGGACGCACAACAGGCGAATAGCATGCGTTGTCTATGTCAATGATGATACCACATGCCGTGCTGTGGATGATCCCACCAGATTATCAACTATGGAGGAGCAGCTCAAGAACATCTTACGTGGGTGTGAGGATGATGACAAAGTGGGTAGAACCAGTTTCTCCATGGGGTTCACCCATGTTGATAGACGACTTCACCAAATGTTTTTCGCTGATAGAGATTATGAAAGCGGTGGAGTAACAACCGAGGCTGATCATCCTTCCTCCTTCAAACCGAAGATCACAGTTGAGGGCTGTGAGGACAAAGGTTACTCGGTGGTTAATGTCCAGTGCAAGGATCGGGCCAAGTTGATGTTTGACATTGTGTGTACATTGACAGATATGCAATATGTTGTTTTTCATGCCACCATTTCATCTGACGCCCCCTATGCATCACAGGTATATAAAATGCATAATTATGCCACAATGAATTATATAAAGTTTGCAAGTTTTTCTTACAGAAAATTAAACAACGTGATATTATCTTGCAGGAGTATTATATTCGTCACATGGACGGCTGCATACTCGATACTGAAGGAGAGAAAGAAAGGGTCATCAAATGCTTAGAAGCTGCAATTCTGAGGAGAGTAAGCGAGGTGAGCAAACTTTCTTGGTTTAGAACGTTTTGCATACTCAGCCTTATGCTAGCATAAATAGCAGCACATCAAATCTGCTTTCTAGCTCATAACTATAGTTCGCCTTTCATGTTTCTGCTAAAGAATCTGTTAAAATATATTTGAATTCTCTGAAGAACACATGAGATTTTGCAAATCAAGATTTATCTAGTCTACATTGTAAATTCAATGAACTCAAATAATGGAGTAAAACATTGAACTCAACACAGGGTCTTAGTCTAGAGCTGTGTGCAAAAGACAGAGTAGGATTGCTATCCGAAGTAACAAGAATTCTGCGAGAGAACGGATTATCTGTTTCAAGAGCAGGTGTAACAACAATAGGAGAGCAAGCGATGAACGTGTTTTACGTGAGGGATGCTTCAGGGAATCCTGTAGACATGAAGACGATTGAATCGCTTCGTAAAGAAATTGGACATACAATGATGCTTAATGTGAAGAAGAATCCTGTAAATGCCAATAAGGAAACTCAAGATCAGGCAAGCACTGGATGGGCCAAAACAGGCTTCTTCTTTGGAAACCTGTTCGAGAAGTTATTGGCTTGAGAATTTCATATATAACTATGTCCATATAACTGTAACAGACACAATGAAAGTTGTAATGAATAATAAAAACTGTTTAGTGAAAGAAAAAATGGACAGGCTTGTAATGGTAGAATTTCCCCTTGAAATTGTATGCCTTGTTGAAGACATGCATTGATGAATGCAAACTCTCAAGTTTAAACTTTTGGCTATTCTTATTCCTTAATAATTTCATTTTGTTTCTGAAATTATAATTTTATACAAAACAAGATGTTAGTTTAAACTTTTAGATCAAACAGTTGATATTGGTTCATGAGCCTTGATGGACTAAAACTTGGGCTTAGGCCGGAGTCACCCAGATTCAGAACCTGAAGAATATGACTTTGAGGTTTTTAATTATAAGATTTTATGTGTGTAGTGTGGGCATTTAATGAAGCTGACCTTGAGCAGATTGACCTTTTCAATTTTCATATACAAATTAATTCATTCACGCATAAGAAAAGTAGGGTTTTATTTAAATAAATGGGTGCCTCTCTTTTCCTATTTTTATCCTATCCTATTCTTATCATTTTTAAAATACATATTTGTTTTTCTATTCTAAAAATACTATTATATTTTATTAAATTATTTTAAACCTCCTAAGTTTGTTAATTTAACTAAACACCCTCAAAAAAAAAAAAGTATAGATATTGACAAAAACACCCTCATCCACCCACATTTACCAGATTCTAGTCACCACCATCAGAAGGTAGTTAGAATATGATATAATAGCACACTACCGACTGGATTTGACTGGTAGTATGTCGATCTAGCCTTTTCCAGCCAGATCCAACATGGATCTGACCGAAAAATGTCATATCTACGGCCAACAACCAGATCTTTGGCCGTAGCTAGTCATTGAACATCAATGACGGTCATACTTTTGGCCATCGTTGCAGCCAAACGCGGCCATATCTGGCAGAAAAATGTCATATTGGCACACGACTAGTCAGATCTAACCGGTTGTGCATCGATATAGTAACTTCAATGGTGGTGGTCCGCTGCCAGTATTTAATAGGAGGGTGGGGGTGTTTTTGTTAATTTTCAATGTTTTATTATAGAGGTGTTTAGTAAATTAACAAACCTAGGAGGTGCTTTTAATAATTTTTAAATCTTATCTCGTAATAACCACCCAACTCTTACTTTTTCAAAAATACTAAAACAAATGCACCCGTAGATATCAATATTTGTATAATATATATTTTGATACATAAGTTTGAGCCACGGTGAGCCGCCAGCCATGGGATGCAACCATACTTGAATATTTTATAGAGAAGTCAATTCAGTTAAGTCTTGGACCATAACAAAAAATATTAAAAGGGAAGAACATATTTAGATTTGAGTGTTGATAAGGATATAGCAACGGCATGCGTAATTGCATAATCAAACAAACCAAAGGCTTTCAGAGTTTGAAGCAACCTGCTGCGAAGACTAAGTCTCACAAGAAACTTTGAATTCAAATTTCAAGGTATGTTTACCCCATCTCTTCCGATTGCATTTATGTTCAACAACTTAATAAAAAATGTTATGAGATGTTGAAAATTATAAATCCAAGTCTAACATTCGTAGTATTGAATAATTAGCCAAAAACAAAGAAAGTGACTACGTACGTACGTATGTGGTAATCAGAATTGAGAAATACTAGTCTTACAAAGATGCATACAAAGAGAGACATACAAAGATAAATCTTACCTTTAATCTTCATGATTGTCTTTCTCTCTTTTTTTTTTTCTCTTATTTCAAAGATTAAATTTATCTTTATATGCATCTTTATAAGGGTAACATTTCTCGATCAAAATTAGGTGGTAAAAGAGAAAGTCCATAAGCAAAACCAGGTTTAGTTTATTAAATTAAATGAATTCCAAATTCATTGACAACAGCATTATGTGCAGGAAGAAACTTACTCAGATGACAACCAAGCTGTAAAGTGGTTATCCAAAAGTCAAAAACTCCAAAATTGCAGCCGCCTTTCTAGCTAGCTCAAGCTAAGCTTCTTCTAAACACCAGAAGAAATTAAAGTTGAAGACTCTTCAACAAATATATCATAATAAATTCGAATATGAAATTACTTTATATATATATTCTTTCAATTTTTGACTTAGACTAAAAGATTATTTGAACATAGAGAAAATGATGAGAGAATCAAAAAGAGCATTAATAAAGAGAACACACAGATACTAAAAACTGACAATTTAAGTTAATGTTATCTTGTTTAGTTATGTAAGTTGTTTAATGTTATCTATTTACAAGTCTATAAAGGGGAAATTAGAGTTGTATTTTAGTGTGGAGATTGTATGAAGTTTATGTTGAAATTAATTTTTTTTTTTTCCCCCCCTAAGTTCACAAGCGTCCATTTTTTCAAGTCTAGATTTTATTTTTCACTCCTCAAATTTATAACAAAGATTTATATTAAGGTTCTTATACAAGATGAGAGGTGGGTGGTGAAGATGATCTTTTTACTCAAAAAAGAAAAAGAAAAAAAAAACATGAAACGATAAGGGTGGAGCCAGTGTATAGATATAGATATATATGTTGTCAAACATGATTTATAGTTGAATGAATCTAGACGAAGAATAACTGAGAGTTCATAGAAGTGATAAGTGTTGCAATACAAAGATTATAAAGCAATTATTATTGTGATGAGATTGTAGTAGATGTATGGTGTATCAGTGACAGAAAACAGGAGAGTTGATGAAAAAAGACAAATTAAAGGAAGAAAGAAAGAAAGTAGATACGTGCAAGAAATGAGCCCATTAATTGACTGTATATTAAGCCTTATAACATGGTAATTGTTGTTAACAACTCATCCTCACAGTCACAGCCTTGATGAAGGACCTACCACTCATGCATTTTCGTTTCGGTCATCTCAAAAGGAACAACTACAATAATTTTGTCTGTGATGCCCTAAGATTCGAGTGTCCATATATTTTGATTGATTTGTTGGAAAATGACGCCAATTCTTCAAGAATCTAACACTCCCAATTTGTTATCATTGATTGTGAAATGTTCCGTTTCTTATCTATATAAGACTTTTTAATTAATTTTCTCAATTATTTTGTGTCTTTTATAATTAATACATCATCTTTTCTTTTCATTTGATTTGGATTTAATTAGATGTTGATATATGAAACAAAATCCACTTTCAAATTCTAAATGGATTGATTTAGACTGAGTCCTTCATTTATATGCATAAATAATAATATGTTTTTGGGTTATTTTGCTTTGAGTTTTATAATATTTTTCAATAAAATAAAATAATGAACCCTATCCCACGTTAGAAGAATCATTCATAACGTGTTATTTTATCCGATCATCTACAACAGGCAGAAATTTTTTTTATATTAATTATGTCATATCATTTAAAATGAGGAATTTAATTATTTATTATATTGTCAAATGATAAATTAGAATCAAGAATAACAATTCATTTCCATAGTCCGTAATCCCTTAAAATGAAGAATAATTTAATTTTAAAATCAAAATATGATAAATTATTGTCCCAAAGAAAATGACAATAATATCCTCAAGCTCTATAAAGTCACTATTGAAGATTGCTTTTAGCAGCGGTTTCGGTTTTACACAAAAGGAACCTTCTAGCATCTACACACTATCCACTACTCTTTTTCTTTTTCTATTTTCTTTTTTTATAATTTTACAAAAATAATAATTTTTAAGATAAATTAAATTAAATATTAAAATTCTCTTCTTTATAATGCGTTTTCTCTTCTCGTCGCTAGTGCTGACTGCATCTTCGATAATCCTCATCAATTAAATCTAGCGCACGAAAATGCATCAGGGTCCCACGTACTCCTTTTCCCATCACATCAACCATCCCTATTTGACACGTGGCATCATACGCGTCGCTAATCCTCTTCCCGTACGTTTCTCCCTCCCTTTTTTTTTTCTTTTATTTCCCTCCTCCTTTTGTCTAATTAATTCTGCTCTCTCTATACGTCTCTCTCTCTCTCCCTGTGCTTCATCAATATTCTTCACTTTTCCCCAAAAATTTTTTTGAAGGTATGATCAGAGCTTCAATCATCTTGTTTTAATTTAATGCTTGGTTAATTTGAGTGATCAACATATATGTATATATATTTGCTGATAGAGTTGTGGTTTTTTTTTGTTGGTTTTAGTTCTTTTGTTTCTCAGTTTTGACTTTTAAAAATAAGAAATTTGTTGTCTTCTTGATTAGAATCGTTTTTTTTTTTTTTAATTTATTGAACGAAATTCAACTCTTTCTGCTTGTTTTATCGATCATTTCTGTTCAATTAAACAGAAAGAAGAGACTTTTACAGTTTCTTTTCGAAATAGAACTTAATTGAGCAGTTTAATTTTTAATTTTTCTTTGATTTGATTAAATGGGTATAGTCTTTGTAGTCACACAGGAAAAGGTTTTTTTTTTTTCTTTTTAAAAAAAAAAAAATAATGTAGAAATTTATTTGTTTTGGTGGTTTTAAAATTTTAATCATCTCTGAGTTTTTATTTTTTTATTTTCCATTTAAATAATATTAAATAAATAATATGGGTGGTTTTTTTATCATCTATGCTATGCGATACATTTCTGGCGCTGCACAGTCTTTATGTTGTTGACACCTGGAGTTTTTTAATACTACTCGATGTCGATGTCTTGGTATTTGTAATGAACTTATCCGATGTTCTCTCTCTTGTCAGCGCAAATACATAAACTGGTGAACAAGCTGGTGTCGTGTCAAGTCTTGAAAGGGGTAAGATGGTTGGAGAAGCAACAAACTTGAGGAGTGAAGAACTGAACTTTTGCTTTGAGAAGCTGATGATGGTTGGTGGTAATAATAGTGGGGTTGTGAAAATGAAAGGTTTGGCCATCACTGAGTGGAAAGATATCCCCATGGAGCTCTTGTTGAGGATCGTTTCACTTGTTGATGATCGGACGGTCATCATGGCTTCTGGGGTTTGTAGTGGATGGAGAGATGCCATTTGTTTGGGCCTCACCTATCTATCCCTCTCTTGGTATATGTCCTTTTACCTTCGTTCAAGGGTTTTTTTATTTTGTTTTTATTTAGATTTTTGTGATTATTCTTGGTTTAATGTTTGTGTCTTTTATGAAAAGAAATGAAACTGAACTGATAATCATGTATAATAAACTCCAATTTTCAGAAACTATTTTGGAGATTGTTTCAATTCTTCATCTGTTTGTGTTACAGGACTATTTTTCCATTTCCAGGACATGCTGTTCTGGCACTGTAACATAGATTTCAACTTAAAAAGTATGGATCTTTACTTAATGGGAGAACCTAAAACCATTAGTTGGGTTTGTGCTTTTTGATTCTCATTGAAGTTGCTTTGCGGATACACTTTCTGTGAAAATGGCACTGCCTATGTAACTGTTTTGTTAACATTCAAGACCATGTATAATTGTTTGTCATTTTTGGATTCTTTAAGTGGTCCTAAGATGTTAGAGCTCCCATAACAGTGTTGGGGTTTTTTAGTTCTGAATGGGAGGAATCAGAAGGCCGAATTCTGGAGTAGTATTCTATCACTTCACTTCACTGCTCACCTTAATTTTGAGTTTAACGCTAACATTCCTTTAATGGTTGTTTCTTTATGCCTGGCCAAAATTGTTGCTCTTTTAGTTTTATTTACTTGGACAGGTGTCTAGCAACATAGTGTTTATGTGACTTTCACGGGGGCTTGGATAGCTTCTCTACACATTAGTTTGGTCTTGACTGAAGTTATGAATAATTTTTGCTTGCGGCCCAGCAGCGGGTTGATTGCTTATGGATTGAGTGGATTCTCTCATTCATCTAAGGTGCTGCTGGATTCTCTTCAGAATCTTGCTGCAACATCTTTATGAATTCTTGAGAATTTTTTTTTTATTTTTTTTTATTTTTTTTTATCTGTAGGCTAGGTGAAGTCTTGTTTTGTTTGTTAGCTGTGTCTTGTTTCTTTGTTTTATCTCGTTGGTTACTTGTTTATAATTTTTATGTAAATGATTTGTGTGCATGTCTCTATGTATGCTTCCATTATATATGTGCATGTGTTTAAATAAGAAGCAAAATATTTTATGTTTGTGCTTCCTCTGTTGAGAAATTCCTCATTATTCTACTCACTAATCACTTGCCATCACTATCTTTACTTTCAGGTGCAAGAAAAACATGAACAATTTGGTTCTGTCTCTTGCCCCAAAATTCACAAAACTGCAAACTCTGGTGTTGCGTCAAGATAAACCACAACTTGAGGATAATGCAGTTGAAGCTATTGCAAATTCTTGTCATGATTTGCAGGACCTGGACCTTAGCAAAAGCTTCAAGCTTAGTGATCGATCCTTGTGTGCCTTGGCTCTGGGTTGTCCTAATCTTATTAAACTCAACATCAGTGGGTGTACAGCTTTCAGTGATCATGCTCTTGCATATCTCACTGAGTATTGTCGGAAACTAAAAATTTTAAATCTTTGTGGATGTGTAAAAGCTGCAACTGATTATGCATTGCAGGTATTATGGATTTATTACTTGTAATGTTCTATATGCCTCTTAAGATGTGAAATGGCTCTGTTAATATGCATTAATTATGTGCAGGCTATTGGGCGTAACTGTAGTGAGTTGCAGTCTTTAAATCTTGGATGGTGTGAGAATGTTGGGGATGTAGGAGTGATGAGTTTAGCATATGGATGCCCAGATCTCAGATCCCTTGACTTGTGTGGCTGCGTTCACATAACAGGTATTTTATGTGTGGAGGTGATTATTTGGTTTCTTAGAAACTGTTTGTATTAATCATGTGTATTCAATAGGTTGTTGTAGTTAAATCTCATGATCAGATATGACTGAACTTTAGTATCCTTGCAAGGAGACATCACTGAACAATCTGTGTATGTTTCCTTTCTTTTGGAAAGGTAATAGCTTTCATTTTTCTACCTAGTCACTTGATTTTGGTCCTCTGTTCCATTGAGTTTTGTCCTTAGGCACGCATAATTTTCTGCGTTTCAATTGAGCTGCCATCAAACTTTTTTGTTGGGATAAGTGTGATTGCTTGATGACAATTTACACGAGCAGTAATGCTAGACTTACCGACTTTGACATACCGACCCAACTACCCAAATCTCAAAATTCAACTCAATTCACATGAGTCGGTATTTCAAAGTCGGTAGTTGGGTCGGTAAGTCTAGCATTACTGTTTACACGAGATGATGTTTTGATTTTTTCTCTGGCCTGGACCTCTGCATTCTTGATTCCAAGGGAGAGGTTGCACCATATTGTCTCATGTCTGGTTTAATGTAAAATGTTATGTTCTTTCAATATCCTAGACAATACACACATCGTAACAAAAGTGTTGTAGATGAGAGAGGTTATCCATGTACCCTTTGATTTAATACAGAAGTGTAGTATTTTAGTGCCAGCTATAGTGGATGGCAATGGTTGCAATTTTGATTTGGAATTTAATTTGCTGTGTCTTGGTTTTATTTCAGATGACAGTGTGATTGCGTTGGCAAATCGGTGTCTGCATCTGATATCCCTTGGCTTGTACTATTGTCGCAACATCACAGACAGAGCAATGTATTCGCTGGCCCAAAGCCGAGTGAAGAACAAACCTGAGATGTGGGAACCCATGAAAAAAAGTAGGTATGATGAGGAAGGGCTTAAGAGTCTGAATATCAGCCAGTGCACGGCGCTCACCCCTTCAGCTGTTCAAGCATTATGTGATACATTTCCTGCACTCCATACCTGCTCTTGGAGGCATTCCCTTGTCATGAGTGGGTGTTTGAATTTGACATCTGTGCATTGTGCTTGTGCCATCCAGCCACATCCACATCGTACAGCAAACTCTATTCCTCACCCAGCTCATTGATACGCTCTTTAGGCTGAGGAATGTCAAGTTCCCTTGCTTGAGGCCCCAAGAGGGAGTATAATGCCCCCGTGTCGTACATATGGTTGTGTTTAAAATTAGGACTGTGGCTTTATTTTATTTTGATTTTTATCTTCTTGTGTTCAAAGCTATGTGTTGGATGGTGGTTGTTTAAATGTTGAGGAAATATATGCCTTATGTAATTACAGGCTGTATAAATATTCCAAAATCATATCAATCTATGTTGAAAATCTGATTTTGTTTGTGGAAAAAATGGCAGGCTCTAGAGGTTAACACTTTCAGTATTACTCTTGAGGGGAATAACAGCTTGACTTTCACATTGAGGTAAAAAATATAATTTATATTTATTATTGAAATATTGACTTCTACAATGAATGTTCAATTTGAAATAAAAGTTTATAAAATAAATAATACAGTACCAGTGGTGCGTTCTTTTGTAAATACACAATCATACAACACAATTCATGGCTTGTGCCAATCTCTGCTCTAAACAAAATCTTCAACTCAACAAGATGTGTTTTCTCATGTGCATTTTCACTCTCTTATGGGAGGAAAATGGCAGTCATTGTAACTATTAACGTCTGGTACAATTCATGCTACCCATTTGCATCTGCGTCATTTGCTTTTATACACGATTTCATCATCGTCCACATCAAATGCTGGATTGCACAGGCATCTGAAGAGTCTTCCAATACCCTGCAAGCATGAAAATGGAGCTCAAAATCCATTCATTCAGCTCCAAGAAAATGAATGTTCTTCCTTGGAAAGATAGCTTCTGGTAAAGCTTCATTATGTGCTTTTTGTATGTTTGTGATTGTCGGTGTTATTTATTTATTTATTTTATTGGTACCGTAAATTAAAAGTTAAATTCTTTAAAATTTGAATAATGTTATAATCACTGAAAGTAGTACACTGAATTCATGCACGAATGACGTGACACAATGCTGACCGTTGATTAATTATTAATTTATAATTAATCAACGATGAGGATTGTATCACGTCATTCGGTGTATAAATTCGATGTATTATTTTCAGTGAATGTATTATTTTCTTTAAAATTTTCTACCGTACCTGAGTGAGTAGAGGAGTTCGATAGGAAAGAGCTCTTGGTGATTCTTCTTCGCTGCTGCTGTCAGAAGTATTTCCATCATCATCTGTATCAGCAACATTTTTCTTCTTTGATGTTCCAGCATTCTCCGTTTGCTTTTCCTGGTTAGAAAACAGAATAGGTATTTGTTCATATTTTTTATTCATAAATAATAATCATCCTCAACTTCCCATTTTAAGGCCACGAGCATTCATTTCTAATAGGTACACGGAAAAGCTCAGCTGAAATATAATCATGAAATTCTTCATTAAACCATGATAAATCTTGTACCTGAAATATCTTCCCTAGAATTTTCAAAGCCAGAGCTCGAGCTCTGAGTTCCTCCTTCTTAGCATTGTTTTCTTTTAGCACCTGCAAACAAATTTAATTTAAAGACATGAGATGCTCTAAAGCCAAAAATTTCTCAAGCATAAAGGCAGAAGGGCTATTTCCTAACTTTTTACTGAACTCTATTAAGCCTTAATCCCAACTACTTAATAACAATACTCTAGAAAAGCAGATACGTATTCAAAACAGAGAGCCAACTCTATAGAGACTTTCAAAAATAATGAGCAAATAAGTCAACTGAAAGAAGCAGAAGCTTACCATTTGGCACACATGTAGAAGGGTTACTTCAATATCAACTACATTCAACTTCCACACAGAGCTCATCAATGTCTCTTTGTTTAAGCGAATATGTGATTCGAGATCATTTTCAGGGCCACTGCCATCCATTTTGAATTGCTTTCGGATGTCTTCTTGAAGTTGCAGTAATTGACAAGCACCTGGACTTTTTATCTCAACATGATCAAGTGTACAAAGAAAATTCTGAGCGAAAACATTTATTTTTGAAAGGTGGTATTATGATACCTTTAGCAGCTGTGATCTGTGACTTCCAGAAGTGTCCCTTATTGCGAACCCACTCGGCAATAAATGGGACACCGAGATAAATGGCCTTTTTTCCTAGTTCTTGAGCTGCCTGTCTTGAGTAGATGTAGCCAATAGTGTGTAATATATCCAGTCCAAAAGCTGTTTCTCAAGGCAGTAGAAATTAGTAATCACCATTATCATTCATTGTGAATAGATAGTGATATTCCTTATTTCAGCTTTCACTTCAATGACTTGTTGCTTTTACCCAAAACAGTTTGAAAACGGAAACCATAGAAGATTCGTGAAGCAGTTATGTAATAAAACAGTTAGCCCTTAATTGACATAACTCTTTTCACTTACAATAATGCTAGACGTAAGAATAAATTTACAATAATTTCTTGTACAAAGTAATGTGGCAGGAGATGAATGGAAGAGTAAATAAAAATAAAATTCACTCTTCCATTCATCTCCTGCTACATCACTTTGTATTAGAAATCTTTATAAATTTCTTTGTACGTGTAATATTTCACTTAAACTTGTTAGAACAACCAAATAAATGTGATAAGCAAAACTTTCTACTGTGTAGTTCACTAATTCAAGAAAATGCAAATAAATAGTAGCTTTATGCCTACATTTAAAACTAGAAAATTAGTACAATTTATTTGTAAGATGTTTAGAACAGTATGTTTTTGGTATACAAAATTTAAGAGCACTAACCAATTAAAACAATGCTATGCTTACAATTGAATCATATAATCAAACAAAAAACAAAGGAGAGTAATCATTTACATGAGTTTTGTACAATTTTTATCTGGTTGTATGACTTAATTGTAAGCAAAACACTAACCAATCAATTAATACATATGCAAAAAATAAATCTAGTATTTGTCAACATTTGTGCCATCTATAATGAAAAACAGAACCTGAAAAACCAGTAGGAAGCTTAATTTACCAGCATCAGTCAGCCGTTTAGCTTCCGATTCTGCACGCCATAAGAATCCATCTTTGTCACCTCGAACATATTGACTAAGAAAATCTTTAAGAAATCTTGCTAGCTTCTCTTCTCTTTCCCTCTGGACACCCTGCAATGTATTTGTTGCATACCGCTATAACTTAGGAAAAAGGCTATATGGAAGTATACAAGATCTATTCCAGAACTAATTAGGCATAGAATAAAACAATTTAGGGCATCCTCATTGAGGTAAGATTTAAAAAGCATCAGGGGCGATAGCAGATCATCTGTAGGGATCACACATGAAAGGCTGCTTTTGGAGTCTCAAAAGAGAAAAGAGCCAATGGGCATTAAGCGCTGTAGCAAAAGATTTATTCATATAAAATTTGAGATTCAGAAACTACAGATCACCACATCAACAATAGAAAATGGATAAAAGTGAAAGAGCAAAAAATTTAGCTAGCATGCTCAATTAATATAAATTAAGATCCTGTAAAACATGAATATGTTTTATACTGTTTCAGGTTTGGCATACAATAAAATTCGCCCACTTTAAGAAAATAAGATTTAAAAATAAAGCTAGAATCAGAGTGATGATGACAAGTTATTAAAATATGTGAATGCAATCAATTNACATATTGACTAAGAAAATCTTTAAGAAATCTTGCTAGCTTCTCTTCTCTTTCCCTCTGGACGCCCTGCAATGTATTTGTTGCATACCGCTATAACTTAGGAAAAAGGCTATATGGAAGTATACAAGATCTATTCCAAAACTAATTAGGCATAGAATAAAGCCATTTAGGGCATACTCATTGAGGTAAGATTTAAAAAGCATCAGGGGCGATAGCAGATCATCTGTAGGGATCACACATGAAAGGCTGCTTTTGGAGTCTCAAAAGTGAAAAGAGCCAATGGGCATTAAGCGCTGTAGCAAAAGGTTTATTCATATAAAATTTGAGATTCAGAAACTACAGATCACCACATCAACAATAGAAAATGGATAAAAGTGAAAGAGCAAAAAATTTAGCTAGCATGCTCAATTAATATAAATTAAGATCCTGTAAAACATGAATATGTTTTATACTGTTTCAGGTTTGGCATACAATAAAATTCGCCCACTTTAAGAAAATAAGATTTAAAAATAAAGCTAGAATCAGAGTGATGATGACAAGTTATTAAAATATGTGAATGCAATCAATTAAATTTCATATGTGACCTATCTACCAAACCAAAGAATCAATTGAATCATATCAGGAAAAAAGGATCTTCATATTTAGTTATGAACATGATCATGAATTGTTCTTTATAACATACTTGCCTTCAATTTTTCATGTAGTTTTGCAGGATTGTCACTTTCGCCAGCTAACTCTGAAGAAGCCATAGATGCCACAGCCAAATGTCCGATGTAATCCTCGAACAATTCACTTCCAAAGAGAAGAGCAAAGACAGCTGTGGGATCAAGCATGGTATCTCTGAGATAAATAAGACATCAACTATCAGGGTTGAAACATATCCGAATGTTTTCAGTGCAGACATTATTTATCCAGAATCTTCATTTGCATCTACCATATATATTTTACTTCTACTACAAATTTATGGAACCACAACCTCTTTTTGAACTTCTTGAACACTTAATGATGCACTGGGCTAGTCAATAGAATACACTTCCAACGCCATAATCCGGCTAGCAACTTAGCAGAATCCAAGACATTATAAAAATCTAGATAAGCTCACCCCTGAAAATCTGGATAAGATATGAAGATCATACCTAGATATGCTGTATTTTCCATTTCTGTCATATGCATCTCTTTGTACTGGATCACTCAAAACTTGATAAGCTTCACCAAGTACCTACATAAATTAAGGGTCAATTAATTCTAGAGACAAGATAACAAGAACTGTAATAAAATAAAATTATTATTTAATCAGGAATATACATGTTTGCACGCTTATAATAGAGTTGAAACATTGGTTAAGGCAAAATAATAAACAGCATCTTTTATGTCAAAAATTGGTTAGGCTCCATTTGATTTATGGGAGAAAACAATGTAAAGTAAAAATAATAATCTTAAAATGGATCAGAAGATGGATTAAGTAAAAATAGAATTTGAAGCAGATAACTTACCTGAAATCTTTCAGCAGCCTGAGGATCATTTGGATTTTTATCTGGATGGACTTGCCTTGCCTGCATCAACAATGCCATTTCCCAATCATATTCTTGGACTTTAATATAATAGAGAAATACAATATCACAATGAGAAGGGCTCAACAAAAGAGAAAAAAAAAAAGAATAGAACAAAAGAAAGCCTAAAAACCCATTGACACATTAGGCCCCATGATCTTTAACAAGCAAAATTCTCATCTAGATTCAACAACCAGTGATCACCAAAAAGCCAAAGAAACTAATAGAACTAAGAAAATTACAAGAAGACAGCCGACAAAATAAAATCCAATTCAAATACCATTCAGTTAAATACAATCTCTTATCACACACAGATATATCAAACCTTGAGATAATAAGCCTTGCGAATCTCCTCCTCGGAAGCCGATGGACTCACACCAAGAACATCATAATATTCAGTTTCCTTCACCATTCTTGATCTTGTGGTGATGATGAGCAAACCCAACGAAGCTTCTCTAGTGAGGAGCACTCACAAATCTTAATCTTTAAAAGTGAAAGATAAAAAGGGAGAGAATAAGATAAAAGTTTAAGTGCGTGAGAGAGAGAAAATGTCCATTTTTATCAGCCCCACGAGCTTCACTTGCCTTTCCAGTTCTTCACACTAATAAACAAATACCCCAAAATGCTTTTTAGCGGGAGAAAAACAGTTTTTTAACTGTCACAATGGTGGCGCTTATCATACATGATACAAGTACAGGACCAATTTTATTTGAATTGCTTTTCAAGTTATCAGTGCTGTCGGTGGGCTGAGTTTGGGCCTGGTGTGGGCCTTCTGATCCAAAATTTGGATGGGCTGGGGCCCAGATGGGCTTGATTTGGAGCCCACTGACTTCTTTCTGTAATAGACAAAAAAAAAAGGTTGATGCATCCAAAAGTAAGTGTTTGTTAAAAAGCAATGAATAAAGAGATGTTGCATAAAATTTTGAAGCATGGGTTAATGGGAAGTAATATAATTGTTGTGCATGTGGGATGTATCACCAAAAATGGGCTCCTCAATGAAAAAGCAGTCGCTATTTGTTAACTAAATCTGGAAGGTGCATGACCTCGTGAACAAGTCTTTGTAATTTTGAATTTTGATTAGTTTTCTGGAGAATTTTAGATTAAAAACAATATTTAAAAAGAGGTCCTACCGGGAGTCGAACCCAGGTCGCTGGATTCAAAGTCCAGAGTGCTAACCACTACACCATAGAACCAGTTGTGTAATGATATTCAAATGTTATCAATAAGACTCATCAATAATATTTAAACTCTCCCCTTTTACTCGACCCTTCGATTAGAGACTGCAAGTATAAACATATCCACGATTTTTTTTCAAGTATTATATGCCTCTAGATTATCATTTACCTTTAACAAAATCATGAATGTTCACCGTTCGTATTGAAGAATGGAGGTGGAACTTGGATCGATGTCAGTTCGTAACCCTTTTTTTTTATTTTTTTATTATTATTATTTTGTAATAAGCTGAATTCAGCCCTGCTCACTGTTCAAATACCTACTAAACTTCAGTAGTAAATACGTCATTGTTTTCAATTTTGAGATAGTGAAATATAATCATATAATTAATGCCCCCTACTATGAAACGACAATAACTTGCACAACAAATTAAAAATCAATAAATAAAAGATCATTTAACATTATAATCCATTAGCAATTACATGGTACATAAAGCATGGTATAAAATATTAGTGACAAAATTTTTTACACTTAAATCTGCCTTGAGCCGATAACAAAAGATTGGCATCCTCGAAATTACAAAACGAAAAGCTTTTAATTGCATGTATGGCTTTCGGCAGAAGATGTAAAGATGCATGCTCAGGTGAGATCAAAATTTCAGGGAGTCCTTTTCTAATGATTCCTCCCACTCATTTTTCTGTAAACACTCCACGGTCAAGTCACTAAACAAACAAATACGGCGACGTTTTACTTCCTGGGCTTTCCTCGTTTTCCATTTTTACCAAATTTTTTACCCTTCTTTTGACCTTTGTTCTTCATATGAGATATTCTGTTTGCCTTCTGCTGCCTCTCCTTCCTAACCTGTTCAAGATCTTTAATCTCTGAACGTACATGAGCATTAGGTACCGAACGCTGCTGCTTCTTGCCTCCTCTGAAATTTCTATTATCCCCTCGCAGGCGACGATCTCCTGCACAGAAGCATTTTTACATAAGGTTCTGTCCTGTAACTAGTTTTGGGGGTTAGAAAGCAGGCAGTTAAAATCCATCACGGGCAATAGTCAAACTAGATAGAGGATCATAACACAAAATCTCAACTTTTTCTGCTGCACTCACAAAAACAATCAAGTAGGTCGTCCGTGCTATTTTCCAACCCACTTGAGGCCTAGCCTCATTAACAGCTAGCTCTATGCCAAGATGGGATATTCAAGTTCAGTAGCTAATGTTTATGTATTTAGTTAAATATTTTAAACATTTGAGCAGATGGTAAAAATACGAGGATATTCAAAATTCAGAAGAACTTTAAATATTTACTAGAGGAACTTCCATTTTCGGAGCATTACCTGAGAAGCTTGTGGATTCCTCAGAATTTCCTTCATTACTTGTTCCTTGAATAGATACTTTCTTGTGAGACCTTTCTTTCCACTTCTTGTATATCCCAGTTTTTGTAGCTTTTACTTTAGCACCACTCTCTGTCTTTACCTGTGTACCAAGAAATAAAAATTAAATAAAAATGAAAACCCCAGAATTTTTCTATTACTTATTGTGGATATAGAATCATTACATACACCAATAAACTCCATAAATTGTACCCCAAAAAAATGGTTGATGATACTAAGTCATCAGTTAGAGAAATCAAAACAGGAAAAGAGTTTTAATGAGAGAGAGAGAGAGAACCTTTCCACTGGCTGTAACTCGTTCACCATTGTTCAACTTGATGTACTTTTTACCCCTCTGCAACCCCACAGTCATTAGGCAAAAACAATGAAAAATATGACAAAGATAATAAATAGAAAGTAAACAATCAACAATTTGAAGTACCTTATCCCAATGATATACTGACTTCTGTTTCTGCAAGCCTTCACTATCATCTGCAACGAGATCTAGAACAGCAGCTTCCAACCTACAACCATTGATTAGCATCCATGAATGCCCCAAAGGTTAGAACAAGAGCTAGATGTTCATCAGATTACATGCATTAAGATCAGAACTGCAGTAGAAAATTTGAGGTCCTCAATTCTGGGTGAGAAACGAAATTTAAATTCTCCAAAAGATAAAGCACGAATTTGAAAATCATATTTTCACATTAAAAGTTCACCACATTCGTGTATATATACACATACACATGAATGTGGTGAACTTTCGATGTGAAATTATGATTTTCAAATTCTTGCTTAAATATATATAATTTTTTATACCCAAAAAGTTCTTAAGACATTCTCCACATGTTCACTGAGTTCTAACCTAGGGGCTACTTCTGGAATCACAGAAGTGGACCAGGTCCAAGCTAATATAGTTTGTATAATGCATATTCATCACCAGGACAGATCAAAACCAGTATGCAAAAGAGAATAATACAATACTACACATCAATATATACCTATTTGATCCAAAGCCTTGGTCCCCTCTAACCGAGAGTCCTGCTTCCACATGCTGAAAACAATAAAATATGCAAATTAGTTGGCCAGTAAATGAAAAATTCGAAGCATGCATTCAAACACACTGCTATAACAAGAAAAAAACTTCATAGTCCCTGGGATATAGCTTCACTCACAGTTCAGGACACCTTAATATTTTATTAGCAAAATCGTCCTCGAATTAAACAGACATTACTGACTTTTGTTTCTAAACAGAATATTTTTTCAGTAAAGTCTAAATTACCCCTAAATTGGAAAGCTATGAAATAAAAAATACAGAAATAAAATAATAGTTTTTTTTTTAAAGAATTTTATTTCTTTTATTCAATTTAAAAGTAAATTAAATAAAAAAAATCCCAACAGCCCAAACAAAGCCCTTTTTGTAACTTTCCTCACTGCCCCCCATTCCAGCATTATCTCCACTAGTTCCTCCCCTCTTCAAGCTGCCCCCTCACATATTCTTCATTCTCTCCTCCCTCCTCTCTCCACTACTGAGAAAGCTTGGAAATCCACCATCACGGATTCCTCCTCCAGTATCAGTAGAAAGGTGACGTTTATCTATAAAAGTCCATGAATCCCTATGCCCAAACATCCCCCCACCCATTCTTTCTTCTTTTCTTTTGTTCTTTTCAGGGAAAAAAACCCAAATGAATTGATTGTGGCTCTTTTTTTATTGTTGATTGCAATATTGTTGGGTAGTTTTGCGTGTTGGAGTGGGTGGTGCTTCTTTTTGCATATGATAACCTTTTGGGGTTGTTGGGCAAAACAGAGGGTGGTAGGATGGCTGCGCATGAAGGGTGAGTGAGTTTGCTGGCCATATGAGGAAAGGTGGATGGGGTTGCTGGGTGTGAAGGAGGGGAACTGTTGGCTGGTGATTTTTGGTTCCCAAAAAAAAAAAAAAAAATAATAATAATAATAATAATAATTATTATTATTATTATTATTATTATTATTATTATTCTGAGTATAATTTCAGTGGTGGTTTTGTGTGGTTTGCAATGGCAATGGGCGATGAGGCTTTGGCTGTGAAGAGGTAGTGATATTATGTGAACCCGGTGGATGGTTTTACAGGAGGAGATTTGGCAAAGAAGGTTTAGAAAAAGAGATTTAGAACAATTTATTTTAATTATAAAAAAATTATATATAATAATTGATGAAGTTTATTTACTTTTATTGGTAAAACAGAAATAAAAAAACCCATCCTCAAGTAATCACCCGCTTTCATATTTTAAAATAGGGAAGTTTTAAACACTGATGACAAAGTCAAATGTATCCTTGGTCGTTAGTCTAAAACTGACGTCTGTCAAGTTGAAGGACAATTTTGTTAGTGAAAAATAAATGTGTCACTGACCGTAAGTGGACAAAACCATAAGGATAAAATACTTTTGATCCCTGCTATAACTGGAAAACTGTAACCAATTAGTAATATTGTACAAAGTATTTTTGAATAATAAATATAACCTCAAAGGATTGATAGAAACCTACGTGATTTGTTGGCACTGAACTTATAAAGAATTCTTCATCCTTGAAGCACTTTGCCTTTCTTTTATATCCAGAAGTTTCTGACATCCAAAAAATAAATAAATAAATCAAGATATCAATATCAAACAGAACGCAATGCTTATGTGGCTAGAAGTACCATTAAATTGTGATACCTAGTTTTTTTTTTTTAAAAAAAAAAAAAAAAAAAAAAAACATTCAGTACAATCTTTTATTTGTTGCAACGGTTTTCTTTCTATTTACTTCTGCCTCTATTTGAGATGGATGTCCAATCATACCTCTCTATATGTAATCATCCCTTCATTAAGTAAATAATTTCATATCTTAATTCTCATAAAGGAGTGACAATGCTTATTATTCAAACAAAGCTTCACAATTGAAAGTTTCTCATATAGAGTTAGTTTGCCTCAAAAACTTTCTTCACTGACTAAAATATGAAGAAGTAATACTTTTCAAATAAGAATAATAATGTGAACGATTCAATACTAGACAAGGATAGACACCTTTTTTCTCCAAATCCTTCAAAGAGTTCATTTCAGATTGAACTTCCTGCAAAGTGCCAAAGGATTCATTAGCTAAATACAAAAAACACAGAAAACCGCCAAAACTCATTGAGTGCAAATCTTGAAATTAGAATTCCAGATTTACTATATATATAATCCTGCCAAGCTTTCAGGCCCTGCAAGGTTAGTGGAGGTTAAAAACCAGTGGTACCCAGAGAGGGAAAGATAAAACATTCTTTTGATTGATAAACTGATCTGTTGAAATATGAAAAAGACAAAAAGCACCACAGGGTAAGTGGAAAAAACTTCTATATGCATGAGTCAAAGGCAGTCATTATCATTATTTTTGGATAAGAAACAAAATAAACTTGTCACGTTTTCTAACCCCTGAAGGCATTCATGCCATGTTTTGTCTCATATTAAAGTTCCATTCAAACATTTCAGAGCTTATAAATATATATTCCCATATATCATAGCACCAAAAATCGCACAACATTTCAGTAATGTTTCTCTACCTCATGATCAACAATAATACATTGGAAAAATCCCAATAAGTCACTGTTATAAACACAAATGTGCATACATAAGCTAAATATAACATGAACTTTAGGTATATTAGATGTAGGAATCCCAGAAAACCAGAAATGACACAAACTAATCACTGAAAGCTGTTTCTCACCTATGAATGACTTAGCAGAGGAAGCAAGTAAAAGTGATGATATATGGAGACAGGAGAACAGCATGATGAAGTTAGATAAAAAAATGTTTTGCTACGAAGTGCATCAAGTTCATATATCAGCACTCAGCCTGCATTATAAGATTCATATTAAAGGTTTACCTTCTCCACATTTTTAGTAGAACGCTGCTGATGTACCAAATTGATTATCTCCTCATGAACAGCTCTCTTCTTCTTCATCACATCAACCCATTGACTAGCTGAACCCTGCAATATAATCAGGAGAAATAAGAGCACCATCCAATATGTCAAGAAAATAAATTTAAGAATTGTTGAAGGCATCCAATAAAGCAACTGGAAAAATTAAGTTCAAGTCAATGTCTATAAGAGAACATTGTTAAATGAAGAAAGTTACCTGCACATGCTTTAATCTGGAAGCTTCACCTTCTGCTTCCAAAATGGTTTTCCTAGGTCTAGCAGTATACATATATCATTTTAAAAGTTACAATGCTGCACTTTGCATTCTCCAACCAAAAAAAAGAACGTTGTGTTTTTGTACGAGTAAAAAGCTTTAGCACTCACCTAAAAGCTTTCAAGCGTTCAGAAAAGGCCAGTGCCATTAATTCACCACCTTCCAGAACATTTTTGAAAATTGGATGCAAACCTTCGCAGGGTAAATCCTTCACTCTTCTAATGGATTCCTTTGCTGGTGAGGGTTTTGTCTTTGAATACAAGCGGAAAGCATTTGAACAAGTTCTCTGCAAAGAAGTCAGTTCAGCAGACGAATCAATGATTTCTCTAACACGATCTGAAACAAGATCAATGACTGTCTGGGGAAAACGCCCATAGACAGTTTCCCCATTTGCAACTGCTTGATCAATCTTGGACATAACACCATCCATATCCTGTAAAACCTCTTCCTCAGTGGGTGCAGCCCTAATTGGTTTTGAGAGAAACAGATGAAGGTCTAGAAGGTATGGCATATCCTCAGTTGTTACAAAGGAAAATGCGGTACCAGTCCGGCCAGCCCTAGCAGCTCGCCCTACTCGGTGGACAAAGATCTTAGGCTTCGGGGGAAAATCCCAGTTGATAACATTATCAAGCAGGGGTATATCAATACCCCTAGCCGCAACATCTGTCACAATTAACAGCATAGTCTTCCTTGCCCTAAACCTAGATATATGAATCTTACGAGCATCTTGATCCATATCACCATAACATACAGATGGCTCTATACCCTCTTCCTTGAACAATATATTAAGGAACTCCACATGATGTTTTGTGGAAACAAATATCAATGTCTGCTGCTCAGGACCAATTTGCTCTCTTATCAAATACAGCAATGCTGCATGTTTTTCTTCCTGCCGTAGGGTGAAAAAGGCAAGCTTCAGATCTGGGCTAATCTTATTGTCCACATCAAGCCGCACAAGATGAGGATCTCGCAAACCAGCCTTGGCAAACTCAGCAAGGGCACTTGGTAATGTAGCACTAAAAAGCAACGTTTGACGGTTCTCACTGAGATGGGAAAGAATCTTATGCAACTGCTCAGCAAAACCCATGCCAAATAGACTATCCGCTTCATCAAAAACAACATACTCCACTGTTTTCAATGACATATCATCAACCTCAGACAAATGGTGCATCAGCCTACCAGGAGTTGCAATAATAACATCAGGGTTCTGAGCTAATTCTTCAAACTGACTTTCCATGCTATCACCACCAACCAATAAACTAGTACGAAGATCTACAGCAGAAACAAAAGATGAATACTTTCCAGAAACAATCTCAATCAACTTATTTTATTCACAACTTACAACTGAAAGCTAAATCGGAAGCAACTTAAAACAACTGATCCACTTTTAGCTATCAATTTACTACTTTAATAATATCTATTAGTCCAGGGCAGCCTGACGTTACCTTGGTAATAACACTAATTACGCGTTATACTTATTAACTCTAATAACAATCAATAAAAACATAAGGGAATAAAAAGCTAGGAAATTGAGACATTTAATGAGTAATTTCATATAATGAAGGTTTACCAGTATATCTTCCCAACTCTTTAGTAAACTTCAAGGTCTGGAGAGCCAAGTCACGCGTGGGAGACAAAATGAGAGCTCTGACTCCACCCTGAGGCACGTGCTGATTTAGCCTCTGAAGCATGGGGACCAAAAACGCCGCCGTTTTCCCGGAACCGGTACGAGCCATGGCTACGACATCAACGCCGGCAAGAATTAAGGGCATGGTCTTGCGCTGGATTGGAGTGGGGACTTTGTAGCCCTTTCGTTTGACTCCTCTGAACACATCAGGACTCAAATTCAATGACTCGAAACCTCCAGATTTTGATTTCTTCTTCAGCTTCTCTTGGCGTTTTAGCTCCGCTTTAGAGCTCACCAGACGATGCGCCTGAGACGACATCGAGTTGAGGCTATTAAATTTTTCTCGCAAAACAAACAGAGGCACAGAAGAAAGAGGCTGAAATATGAAGTTTTAGGTTCTTAAACCCTGTAGGTTTTTTTTTTTTTTTTTTTAAATGTCATTTTTACCCCGTTTAGAATCAAAACATTACATTTAAGCGCAAAAGGCTATAGTTGTAATTCTCTACACTTTTGGGAAATGGAATAGCCCAACGATTATGAACAAAGCATAACACTACACATACAATATTTTTATATAATATTTCTCATACAATATGATATGGTAAAAGATGATTGATTGATTTTAAATTAAAAATAAACTTTCACCCAATCATCTTTTTCCACATCATGTTGTATGAAAGTATTGTATGTGTAATATTACTGTATGAACAAACGGCAGCAATTTGTATTGATAGGGAAATCTGATAGTTTTTGGGAGGGGATACTTTGGATTTAGGTACAATTATTTCATGAATTACAACCAAACATATACAAGTTTTAATTTGTTCAAATTAGGGACATTAAATCCAAACTAGGGGTGTCAAGCGAACCGAGTTACTCGTGGCAAGCCGAGCCACTCGCGAGTATCTCGAACTTGACTCAAGCGATTCGAGTGTCGCATCGAGTCGAATTCAAGCTTCTCAATACTCGGCTCAAGCAGCTCGTGAGCTTGCTAGATCTTGACAAGGTATATATACAAGTTTTCCAACTATTGGGGGTATTTATATGTACCATTTTGCTACTAAATTATGTAAAAGTGACATTTACTTCCCTTCAACATTCGAATTTCTTACCTATCTTCTTTTGCCAAATTGCTCCTCTCTTTTTCTTTCTCCTTCACCACCTCTCTTCTCCTTCTCTTTTCTTCTTCTTCTTCACCTTTCTTCTTTCTTCTCATGCTCTCTTTTCCTTCTCCTTCTCTTTCTCTTTCTCTGCCCCGTCCCTTCTCCAACAATCTAAATCTAGCCAAACTTTGGCGGCCCATATCTGCCCAAACTTTGGCAGTCCGGTCTGGTCATCGCTTGCCCAAATCCTGGTGTTTGATTGTATTTTTTTTTTTTTCATTTTGTATGTCTTTGTAATTGTTTTGACATTGGTTCTGGGTTTAGTAAAGCTTTTGTTATCTATGTTCAATCTTGTACTCTTGTTTATGTGTACTAAAATATTTTGTATAATCTCATATGTTTGGGAAGAGAGTTTCAAGTGATTACTAATTAATTTGGGTTGAAGAAACATTTTCTGATTATTGACATTGGTTCAAACTCGAGCTCAAGCTCGATTTGCACAGATAATCGAGTCAAACCCAAGCTGAGCTCAAGCCCGCATATTTCTATCGAGCTTGAGTTCGAGCTCAACATTTGAAGCTCAAGCTCTAACTGTTTAAGTGAGCTGAGCTCGAGTTTCCCAATACTTGGCTCGATAACACCCTAACACTAAAATAGTAATCTTGTTCAATTTAGAGATAAAACAGACACTAATTTCAATTATCAATTTAGAGACACTTGTGAGTAATTTAAATTTTAACATAAAAATAACAAAAAGACTTAGATGCCCCTAGTTATTTATTTGGTTATAGTCTTTCAATTTAAAATTTGAACACTAAAAAAAGTTTAAAATTTAAAAACTTTGTTTGATTTCAAGGTTTAAATATTAAAAATAATAAGAAAATAAGAAAAAGCAAAAACTGGTTATAAAAAAAAATATATATATGACAAAACAAAAAAGAACAACCATTTTTATTTTTAAAATTTAAAAATAATTGAAAACATAAAATCAAAATAAAATAAAGGAAAAGACTTTAGCTTTTCCCTATGTTAGTGGCGCAACCGGCAAGGACTAGCGTGGCTGGCCAATGTCTGACTGACCTTGCCAGATCAAGATTCAAGGCCACACCAAGGGTCCAAGGCCAGGCTAGGGCAGAGCTTGTACATATCCAGGCTGACAACGCTGACCCTTGTCGACTGTGCCGTTAGCCTAAGGAAAGCCAACAACTTTTTTTTTTTTAATATTTATTTTATTTTTTAATTTTAGACATGTGTCAATGTTTTATTTGATAAAAATATTTTAGTAGACTTTATATTGCTGTTATTTTTCTTATCACTTATGCAATTTCTGATGTGCCTTCGTTCTCTATTAAACGTAACTGCAATTAATAGAAAGTGTCCCTAAATTAAACAAATAGAAATTTTTGTTTGTTTTGTCCCTAAATTAAACAAATTAAAACTATGTCTGTGTTTTTAATATTTTATTGATAATATATTAATATCCCTTTTTGGGAGTAGTATTTTTAGGGTTTTATTTCATTTATAAGTTGTTATAGTTTTAGAATTATTTATTATTTTTAGAGTTTTATTTGATTTATAGGTTGTTTTTTTCTCTTATTTTTCCCAAAGTTTTAAAACCCAACCTAGGTTGAAACTCGACAAAATGGCCGAGTTCTAGGTTGACCAGTTTGACTGATCAAACCGGTATCCAAAAGTTTGAAATCTAACAAAAATATCCCTAAAAATTTACAAGTCCCTATAAGTTTAAAATATTGCAAAAACACCCCAAACACCACTATCGACGTCGACAAATAAGGCTTGTTTCCGGCGACGACAACACTCCCCATCATCACGAGAACACTCCCCTCGGCCTCCTAACAAAAAATCATCTCATCCTTTCCCCCGTTCACCTCCCCAATCGTCAGCGACATTGTTTTGCAATTTTTGGTCGATTCACTCACCGAAAATTGCCGTTGTTGACACCATTACACGGCTATTCCTCTTCAAAAGCCATAACATTCCAACCTTCAATTGTTACCGGATTGATGTCATAATTTTTAGGGTTTTTAATGAATAGAAAAGTTTGTAACCCGACCCGGCGAAGGCTTGAGTCCCGATTCAACCAGGATGGGTTTAAAACACTGATTTTTCCTGCATCAGAAAGCCAAATCACATGAACAAGGATTAAAAAGATGCAATTTCGTTGATCTTATTACAGTGCTATTGAAGAAATTAATTCATTTTTTTTTTTTTTTTTTCTCCAACATAATTTAGGATTTATACCTTCTTAAAAACAGTTGAAGATTGAGTACTTTGTTTCCAGTAAAAGGCTTCAAATCCCATCGTTCAACATTTCATCTTAGGCAAAAACAAATGTTTCTCAGTACAGTTAGAAACAGCTCCAACAAACCTTGGGCAAGACCAATCCATTCATTCCGTAAAGATTTTGTCACATATCAAGAATAAAAATACATTAACAGATCACTGGGGGCCAACATCTTGTAAATTCAGATGTTAGCCTGGCATATTAATCAAGAAGTGCATCCAAATCCCAATGGGGCAACAAAAAAAATGCATCAATGGAATATTCTTCCACTTTCATGCTTGGATTCTTATCGATTTGTAAAAGCCACAACGAAACGAGCACTAATTAAGAAGGTATTTCAACTATATGTATGATGGGCATGGTCATAAATCGAGATCTTGATATGTCTGGTCATGAGACCTCAAACCGGACCACAACACAAGTAATGTTGTCAGAGCTCCCACGTGCATAAGCTTCTTGTATGAGCTTCCTTGCTGCAGCTTCTGCATCAGTTATTTCTTGCACTACATCCACAGCATCCTGTATGCAATCACCAAGATAGAAAACAGATGTAACTACGTAGGTTTCTATGGAACAAATAGTTTAATAAAAGAAAACGTCAATATGTTAACAGTAAAATTCGATTCTATCTATAGTATCCAACATAATCTTTTGCCAAGAGGAAAGTTGTTACACACAAGACTAGTTACTAGACTCACCTGATTCGATAATACATTCCAAAGTCCATCGCTGCCAATGATGATAAAGTCCACACCATCAATTTCTTCTTCCTAAGCATTGTGCAGTACAACATCAGTAACAAGGGATAGTTCTCATGCAAGATGTTAAATGTGATTTAGCAAACTGTATAATTGCAATATACTGTATCTTAACATATGAATTAGTATATGAAGTACTCTGAAAGATTTCAAAAAGAAAAGAAGAAAAGAAAGATTTTCCATTCAAAGCCAAATGGAAATGTTGGTGTGTAAATTTAAGTTTAGATTATAATTCCATTGATAATTAATTTTGCATCAGTTACACAATTCCAATGTCCTCCAATCCGCTTCTGGCATGGTTTTGATATAAAACAACACATGTTCAATGTAAAAGAGCAGTCAAGTTATATAGACCATAGCACTGTTTTGATATAAACAACACATTTTCAATGTAACAGGGCAGTCAAGTTATATAGAACCCTGCACTACCTGAATTTCTGGCTCAGCAACTACAAACGGCTTAAGTAGTTTGTCTCCAAATGCACGAGAAACAGAAAGGACACCACCAACTCGCCATGTTCCTGCAATGATATAAAAGTTCTTTTTACGTTTCAAACACTGGCATCAAGATAAAAGGTTCCCAAAGCTTTAGTCAAACTTCAATTACTTGATAAACTATAGAGACTAAATTTAAGTTAATCTATAAACCCAAACACCGTGTATCTAAACCAAATGTGATCTGCATACATCAGCATACAATACAACGGACAGACAAAGATTCATGCATATAAGACCAAGAAAATACATTTTACCTGCCCAAATAATAAAACCTCCAGCTTCTTCAATCCTTTGCCGCTCATCAGATCTATCAGGTTTATGATCAATAGACAGTGGAAGTGCTAAAAAAAAAAAAACAATAAATTCTTTATCAATAACTGAAAATTTCAACTGTTAGTTATACATTGTTATTTTAATACAAATCCAAGTAAACCAGAGCTTCATAAATGTCCTTGTGAGACAACATTATTGACACGAGAAAAGCATTTATTAAATATACAGAAGAAGTTTTTTTCCCCTCTTCTTTATTTTCTTTTCAAGCTGACTTCGCAACAGTATTAGACTGAATTTGGTAGCCCATTATTTGGCCATAATATTAGAATTGGATGAAATAGGACATTACTTTATTTAGAAATTTAAGGCATGATATCTACAGGTCCACTACATTCCAATTCAAAGGATCTAATTCCAAATAACCAAACAGTAAGTTCCATCCATAGAAGAGAAGACAGCTACCTGAGCCAGCTCTAGAGGCAACCACTCTGGAATCACCAACATTTGCAACAAGCAGCCGATCCCCTAACAGCATAGCAGTTGATGCAGTTGACCCAGCATCTTTTTGCTGACCTTTCTCTTCATTAAGGTAATCCACATCTGTCTGTCTGAAAACTTCAACTGCAATAAAAAATTTGTGCCTATTTGACTATCCACAAAGAAAAAAATTCGAAATAAAATAAAATATGTTATCCACATGCTGACGTAAGAAAAACCGAAAATACTTCGTACCAATAGCTGCCTTTGTGTCTTTGATAAAATCTGGATGACTACTTAAATTCTTGAATAGGTTGTTTTTTAGATACTCTGCAGTTCTGGCACCACCGTGACCTAAAATGGAAAAAGGAATCCTTTATAAACCCACCAAATAGAAAGGTAGGAAATACACAGAACCACTTCAACTATTACAATCATTTCATTAAAAAAGATAAAATGTAAAGCAGAAAGGAATAAAAGACTGTCAACTTTTGTTTGTTGCAATAAAATATAAAAAAATACTAAAAAGCAACAACAAACCATCGAAAACTCCAAAAAAGGCAACCATCTGACCATCAACTTCAGATATCCTTGTCTCATAGAAATCCTCCATTGAAGCCCTTTTACCTCTAAAACTGGAATATCCATAACTGAACTTTGCAGATCGCCCTCCAGTGAGAAAGCTGACAAAAATAATGAAACTGATAATTATTGATCCATGCAACTTATATCACTACTCTATAGCAGGGTCAAATAAATGTACACAAATTGCCACATAACCGAGTTCAGCAAACTTGATGGCCATCTAAAGCGATGAGTCCCATAATCTCAAATTTTCATTTGAATGCCAGTTTATCAGTCCAGAACAAACTCAAAACCACTTATGTAATAAAGCATATTTGTTTCAATTCAAGGTTCAACAAGAATAGCACATAGCCATACAACCTAAACGCAATAGCACTAAATTCTGCTAAAGATATCCTGTAGGCGACATGAATCCAACATATATAACCCATGAGCTTTTCCAACCTGATAGTTGTCATAAGTCCTGTTACTTCAAATAGACTTGTTTATAAGTTAAGAAAGAAAATTATTAATTTATGCATAAAGCTAAACAAAATGTATATAAATTGGTTAAATTTTGAGATTTTATTAGGGTTGCAACAGAAATTTATTTGCAAAGAAAACTATAAGAATTTATGAACTAAATAGTTGCTGTAAATGATGCAAGACAGGAATATCAAAGTAATTTTAAACAGTAAAACACATGCAGCAACTTCAAATTTGAGGAAGGAACAGTGCATTATAGCAGTAGGGCATCCATTCTTCAAGAACAAATCACTTAACTCAATATCCCATTAACCAATTCTTGCAATTCTAAAATCACAGAAGCATATTTATAAAACTTAACTCTTACTTAACCTAATTCCACAGGATTCATAAAATCTCAGACAACACTCCTAACAAACGCCCAATATTATAATGTAGCTTGTAAAACATGTCATAACTTCAGCGTCACAAGTCAAATAATACTACTGCCTCTAGACATAAAGCGCTTTGACCAAATAAAGAAAATTGTTGCTTGCCTAACAGCTAAAACACGACAAGCAAACTTTTTTAAAAGCAACTCACATCCAAAAAAGTTTGCATATTTTTCACATTAAACATGTTCTTTCGACATAGATTTGATTCATTCAACAGCCATATAATCAATCAATCAAAGACCTCACAAAGTCAAGACAGAACAAATCTAAGTCAACATATGACATTAGAATCAACAAATCCACTTAATAATTAATATAACACAACAAACGAAAAATGAAAAAAGAAAGAAGAAAAAAAAAACCTCATGCCACCACCACTCAATAGGGCATCTGGATCCCGAAGCGAAATCATAGCCGCTGGTGATGGGGCATCCCCGTCGGGGAGGTGGAGCAGCGGCGGGTGAGGGGAAGGGGAAGGGTCCGTCAGGTTGGGTGTTGAATGGATAAAATGGTGGTGGTGGTGGTGGTGGTGGTGGTGGTGGAGGAGGTGGTGGCGGCGGCGGAATCTATATATCTATATCTGTATATATGTACGGATTTAAGTTTGTTTAGTTTGTTTAGAGGGTGCTGGTTGTTAAAGAGATACGTAAATAATAATTGAATTTGAATCCAATCAGGAATGGTATTCATTTAAATCTTTACTACTTGCCATTCATCCTCTAATTCTCCATGTATTCTTTTGCTTTTTGACATTTTTCCAATAATAATAATGCAACTCAGGTGGGTCTCTTTATTTAATTATCATTATCTGGGTAGGCTTTGAAACATCTTATATATGTAGTTATTTATTTATAAAAGGCCGAACGACTTGGGCATACCTAAGGTTTGTCGTAACGATAAATTGGTACCTAAAAGGTTTGGAAATGACAAACAGGTACCTTCTGTCATGTGCTATTAGTGATTTCTATTTGTTAATAGTGAAAAGACTAAAATGCCCTTAAAAGTTTGATATTTTAGTTTTTTTTTTTTTAAATTTCTAAAAAACCCCCTAGGTTTGCTAATTTTACTAAACACCCCCATATATAAAAAGTTTGTTAAATGAAAAAAACACCCCGACCACCTGCAGTGCCAGATTCCAGCCACCACCGTCGAAAACTGGTCAAGAAATTGCGTTACGACACAGACCCTTCGGATTTGTGTCGTAACGTGTCGATCTAGATCTGGCCTTTTCCAGCCAGATCTGTCGGAAAAGGCTAGATTTATGTCTAGATCTGGCCGTCGTGGCCGCAAAACTCCATCTGCGGCGTCGACGGCCAGATCTGGCCTTTTCCAGCTAGATCAGCCACGGATCTGGCTGAAAAAGGCCAGATCGATGCGTTTCCGGCCAGATTCCAGTGGTGGTGGTGGCCAGAATTTGGCACTGTAGGTGGTGGGGGTGTTTTTATCATTTAACAAACTTTTTATATATAGGGGTGTTTGGCAAACCTAGGGGGTTTTTTAGAAATTTTTTAATTTATAAAAAAGAAAATATCAAACTTTCAAGGGCATTTTAGTCTTTTCACTGTTAACAAACAGAAATCACTAACAGCACATAACGGAAGGTACCTGTTTGTCGTTTTCAAACCTTTTAGGTATCACTTTGTCGTTACGGCAAACCTTGGGTATGCGCAAGTCGTTTGGCCTTTATACAATTCAATTCTTTCAGATTACCGAGGGCCCCTTTGTTTCAATATTATATCCCAATCCTATTGTACTACTATATTCTAAAAACTCAAAAGTACATTTGTTTTAATATTCTTAAAATTCTATTCTATTTTATTCATCTCACCAAACATTAATAATTACCTTTTTCGTAAAGATAACCCAAATTTTTTTTTTTAAACACTATTATAAAAATCATCAAATAATGAACCAAATGAAGCCAAGATTTTGTAAGATGATTTTATTAGGAACACACGTCTAACTTTTTTTTTTTTTCCTCCCCGGAGGGGTGTCCAGGCCAACTTACGTGTACCTCAATTAATCTCCTAGGATCTTGAAAGTTGAAACTACCGGTCGGATAAGAGCTCTAGTAGCCACCCCTATTAGGGGTCATGGGGACTAAAACTCGGGAGACCATATTAGTTCCTACTAATCCCTTAGGACTTTTGAACTACCGACTGGATAAAAGCTCTAGTGGCCACTCCTATTAGGAGTCGTGAGGACTAGAACTCGAGAGATTATATTAAATCCTACTAATCCCTTGGGACCTTGGAACTATCAGTCGTATAAAAGCTTTAGTGGCCACCCCTATTAGAGGTTGTAGAGACTAGAGCTTGAGGGACCATGCTAAATTCTAATCTTGCTCTTTTACCATCACGGGGACTCAAACTTGGGAGACTATATTTGATCCTCCTCTTATTCTTTTACCATTAAAGAGACTCGAACTTGGAAGGCCATGTTAGATCTTCCTTTGCTCTTTTACTATTAGATCACCCAGTGGTGGTTTATGTCTAACCTAAAGAGAATAACATAATTATATTATATTAATTATGTTTTAATACATGTAATTATCTTATGATATTGAATTTATTTAGCTAATTTATTTTGTTATGATATGATTTGGTTTGGTTTTGCCGTTTTGGTTTGTTTTCATATTATTTAAAGTGTTAACGACTTTTTCCCACCCAAATAGTGGCTTAACGACATTTTTTCACCTACAAACTTTTAAAATACCACTTTAATTACTACCTAAATTTATATTTAAGTAGTAAACAGAAAGTAAACTCGATTCAGGTTATTGGAGTTTTTAAAGAGGGGAGGCCGATGACTTTTTTGGGGGGTGAAATGTTGGATTTTTGTGGTTAGGATTGATTGAAATTTGACTTGGGAGGGGTGGCTACGCAAACCCTAATCGCTATATTGCTTACGATTAGCAGAGTTAGCAGGAGTAGGATTTGAGAGGTTTTGGTGAATGATAATTTGGGAAGAGAGTGGTGATGGTGTGAGATCACAACAATGTCGGAATCAGAAACAAAATATAAATTTGAGAGGTAATGTGATATTTTAAAAATCGGTGGGTAGAAAAGTGTCATTAAACCATTATTTGGATAGGAAAAAGTTGTTTACTCTATTTTAAATTCTTAATATCATCGTGTTATTCTAAATATGTAATTTAACTTGTTATTCTCTTTACGTCTAAACTCTTAAAAAATCCGATTATTATTATTAATATGTAATTTAACTTGTTATTCTCTTCGGGTAATGTTATGCGTACTAACGGATTTTACTAACCAGTGTACTAACTTTTGTTAAAATTACATATAGTATCCGTACTATGCGTATGGTATCCGTATTATACTTTAAGTTAGTACACTAGTTAGTAAAATCTGTTAATACCCAAAGTATTATTGATTCTCTTTACGTCTAAACTCTTAAAAAATCCGATTATTACTATTATTATTGTTATAGTTATTGTTTGGTAAGTAAACTATAATAGAAAAAAGGCAAAAATATACAAAAGCCTTAAAAGGCGGCCATCCAACCAGAGAACCTACCCTGGGTTAGGAACAAAAGAATAACCTAAGCGTAAACAATAGCTTTTTTTCCAATCCGTTGGACAACAAGGGATTGGAACCAAGAGAAGACCAACCAAAACCAAAAAGAACCATCCCACCACTGGACATACCCTGAGTTAGGGGCACAAACCAAAAGACAAACAACCACAGGCATATGCATTTACAATAGAGTATAGAAAAGAAAAGAAAAGAAAAGAAAATAAGCCAAAAAGACAAACCCAACGCTTGACCACAAACTCTCCTAAAGCCGAGGGAAGCCAAACATCCACACCAAAGACCCAATAGAATATGGACCAACCATCCATCATCACCGTCAAACCCGAGAACTCTCCACAACACACCACCAACCGAGACCGAGGTAACCAAGCAAATGCAAGTTTGAAGAAACCCGGACATGAGAAGCAATCCAAGCAAAAGAAGAAAGGAGTTCAATCCAGTTAAGGTTAAAAAATGGCCATAGGTAAACCCCGAGAACTAGCAAGTCTCCTATTGTCAATTGAGTTCTCCTATTATTAAACAAATAAGCATCTGTATTTTTATAAGCCAAGGCAACATGTGAATTGTAGCAATTACAAAGATAAATCATAAATGAGATAACCAATTAGAACAAGTATAAACAGAGNTAATACATGTAATTATCTTATGATATTGAATTTATTTAGCTAATTTATTTTGTTATGGTATGATTTGGTTTGGTTTTGCCGTTTTGGTTTGTTTTCATATTATTTAAAGTGTTAACGACTTTTTCCCACCCAAATAGTGGCTTAACGACATTTTTTCACCTACAAACTTTTAAAATACCACTTTAATTACTACCTAAATTTATATTTCAGTAGTAAACAGAAAGTAAACTCGATTCAGGTTATTGGAGTTTTTAAAGAGGGGAGGCCGATGACTTTTTTGGGGGGTGAAATGTTGGATTTTTGTGGTTAGGATTGATTGAAATTTGACTTGGGAGGGGTGGCTACGCAAACCCTAATCGCTATATTGCTTACGATTAGCAGAGTTAGCAGGAGTAGGATTTGAGAGGTTTTGGTGAATGATAATTTGGGAAGAGAGTGGTGATGGTGTGAGATCACAACAATGTCGGAATCAGAAACAAAATATAAATTTGAGAGGTAATGTGATATTTTAAAAATCGGTGGGTAGAAAAGTGTCATTAAACCATTATTTGGATAGGAAAAAGTTGTTTACTCTATTTTAAATTCTTAATATCATCGTGTTATTCTAAATATGTAATTTAACTTGTTATTCTCTTTACGTCTAAACTCTTAAAAAATCCGATTATTATTATTAATATGTAATTTAACTTGTTATTCTCTTCGGGTAATGTTATGCGTACTAACGGATTTTACTAACCAGTGTACTAACTTTTGTTAAAATTACATATAGTATCCGTACTATGCGTATGGTATCCGTATTATACTTTAAGTTAGTACACTAGTTAGTAAAATCTGTTAATACCCAAAGTATTATTGATTCTCTTTACGTCTAAACTCTTAAAAAATCCGATTATTACTATTATTATTGTTATAGTTATTGTTTGGTAAGTAAACTATAATAGAAAAAAGGCAAAAATATACAAAAGCCTTAAAAGGCGGCCATCCAACCAGAGAACCTACCCTGGGTTAGGAACAAAAGAATAACCTAAGCGTAAACAATAGCTTTTTTTCCAATCCGTTGGACAACAAGGGATTGGAACCAAGAGAAGACCAACCAAAACCAAAAAGAACCATCCCACCACTGGACATACCCTGAGTTAGGGGCACAAACCAAAAGACAAACAACCACAGGCATATGCATTTACAATAGAGTATAGAAAAGAAAAGAAAAGAAAAGAAAATAAGCCAAAAAGACAAACCCAACGCTTGACCACAAACTCTCCTAAAGCCGAGGGAAGCCAAACATCCACACCAAAGACCCAATAGAATATGGACCAACCATCCATCATCACCGTCAAACCCGAGAACTCTCCACAACACACCACCAACCGAGACCGAGGTAACCAAGCAAATGCAAGTTTGAAGAAACCCGGACATGAGAAGCAATCCAAGCAAAAGAAGAAAGGAGTTCAATCCAGTTAAGGTTAAAAAATGGCCATAGGTAAACCCCGAGAACTAGCAAGTCTCCTATTGTCAATTGAGTTCTCCTATTATTAAACAAATAAGCATCTGTATTTTTATAAGCCAAGGCAACATGTGAATTGTAGCAATTACAAAGATAAATCATAAATGAGATAACCATTTAGAACAAGTATAGACAGAGCAAAAAGCCTCCACAGCTGACAGCAATATCAGAAGATTAGCTCCAAGGAATGTAAACGCTGGCCATGAATTAAACACATATTTCTTCATCGTCATCTTCATCTTCACTTTCCACAACCCTGAATAGTATTTATTCACACTCTCGATCGCCTTATCAAGAACCGGAACCTTCGTCGTCTTCACGCTCAACGTCATCCCATTCCAAAGATTCGCCACCTGTTCATCACTCTTCAGTCGATTCACTATAATCCCCGCCTCCCTCAAACCCTTCACATCCTCCACCGTATCAACCAGGCCGTTCATCAGCTCAATGTAACGTGTAAGTATCATTGTTTCTGGTGCCATGGAGGCCTCGTACGCCACCAGATTCCTTAAAACAACGTCTGAATTATCGTCCAAATCCACGACTGGAAGATAGAATTTGCCACGATTTTTGTCGAATTTGATACTGTCTAAGCCGCCTTTTAATGGACAGAATTTGACCCCGATTTTGGAGAGTTCTGTGACGCTTGGAATTTCGATTTCTTCGATCAATGGAGTTTGGCTTTTGGCGTTGGGAACAATTTCGGCTTCTTCGGTGGCATCTTGTGTTGATTCCATGAATTCTTCAATGGCGTTGGTTTTGACATGAAATAACTTTTTCAATAAGGAACATAACACATCAAATGCTTTTGACTTGCAAATTCGTCCGAGAAAGCCAATAATGGCTGAACAAATGAAAAATATAAAGGCAAAAACTGATTTAAAACATCTGACTATGCAGGTCATTTCTTTGTGAAGTTCATCATTTGCACCCTTTCCAATCTGGTGGCTAACCTCTTCAATCCCGGCTCCAGTTTGAACGATTTCCGGCGTAACCGCGAAGTAAAGAAGCTCCAGAAGATGAGATTTGCCCAAATATTCTTCCCTGAGACGTTTGTTATCCCTGATTTTTAATGGAGATAAATCTTTGCAAAACCCCATCAACATCATCACGAACTCTTCATCAGAATCCTTCTCACTTTCATGTTTGTAAAACATATGCACCTCTTTAATCAAAAAGAGAGGGATTTGATTCTCCAACATGATGACATCCCTAAGTATTGCATGGTGCGCAGATTTTCTTCGAGTGTAATCGACCAAATGAGTCATCAAAGACGACACTCGAGTGAAATGAGGACCTTCTCCTTTTTTACGTGCATAAGGTTGAAGATACTCCAACAAGAAGGCGGCATCGATGGCAAACATCCATGAAAGTGTTTCACGATCAAAATCCAAGAACCGGTGATAGCAAGCTCGGATAATGGTGTCTTGTTCTGCGAAATGGTTCACCAAATCATGAAACTTGGCGCGAGCCTTATGGAGCTTCTTCTGCGTTCTTTTCACGGATATGAGCTTGTAACGCTCCATCTCGAAGAGCTCTAAGCGGCCGTGATGGTAAGGACCGATGGCGACGAGGTGGGGAACGTAGGCTTCCGGTTTGGAGGAAATTAGGGTTTTGGGCACGTTGAAGATGCTCACAGCAACACTAGTTTCATCAACGTTACTTTCAAATTCTTCTTCAAGACTTCGAATTATGTGTATAACCCAATCTTGATGCTGTGGGAATTTACGTGGCTCCATCACACTCTGCACTGAAGCCATCTTTGAACTAGTTTAGGAGGAACTAATGTGTTTGATGAATTTTGTAGCAAGTAAATGTTTTTGAGTTCTTGTATGCATACCAAGTGCTACTAAAGAGCTCCCTTTATAATGAGTTGGACTGTTGGAGATAAGGGAAGGAGTAGTGGTAAAAATAGGTTGGCTCACTATTTTTACACGTGCAACTTGTTTTGCAATATCTCTATCATGCTAAGACTCTCTCACAAGGTAAGTATTACAGTACAGAAAATATATTCTCCCAATGTACAAATTGTTGTCCCATCCAATGCATTTCCGAAAGTTGCACACTTGTACAGTAGTACTCTTGATTTTGACAAAGGGTTTTGGAATAATGGAGAAACGTTTTCAAAGATGACACGGAAGACGCAATGGGACCTTAATGAGCGCTGTTTTATCTGAAAAATCGATGAATTCTGGATGGGACCACGGAGTACTGGTAATTATGGTGGTCCTAAACTGAGCATGTGTGAATTACAGGGTTAAGTCCACGGAATGGTCTGTGTTTGTTTTATTGTTCTGGATAAGATTCTTAAAAAAGTTAGAGATGGGTGAATTAAAATACCATCACCCACCCATTAAATACCGACCACCATCGTTGGAAGGTGGTTAAAATCATCGTATCGGCATAAGATCTAGTGGGTCGTACGTCGATATGACATTTTCCAATCAGATCTACGGTGAATTTGGTCAAAAAATGCCTGATTTGGCCGCATTTGGTCATCAATGACAGCTAAAGATATAGCCATCATTGATGGTCAACAACGGCCAAGATCCAACTGGTAGTGCGTCATTATATCAGATTTTGGTAACTTTTCGACAGTGGTGGCTAGAATCTAACAAATGTGGACGAATGAGGGTGTTTTTGTTAATTTTTAAACTTTTTTTTAGGGGTGTTTAGTTAAATTAACAAACCTAAGGGTTTAAAAAATTGACTAAAATATAATAAGATTTTCAAAATAGGAGCAAATGTGTATTTTGGGTGGTTGGACTTAGACTTAGATGTAGACCATAACAGCAACTATCGAAACAACAATCAGATTCTAGAGAAGCCAAAAGTAGAACGAGTGACTCTCTAGTGATTTAAGGAGAGAGTGCTTTGTGGAATGAAATAACCCGCTATGAACTGCGTGAACAATGTAAACCGTCGGTCTAACTGGACCATTTGAAAAACTGGTCCAACGTTTGAAAAGGGGAAAAAATCTGATTTTGACAAAGGGTTTTGGAATAATAGAGAAACGTTTTCAAAGATGACACGGAAGACGCAATGGGACCTTAATGAGCGCTGTTTTATCTAAAAAATCGATGAATTCTGGATGGGACCACGGAGTACTAGTAATTATGGTGGTTATGGTGGTCCTAAACTAAGCATGTGTGAATTACAGGGTTAAGTCCACAAAATGGTTTGTGTTTATTTTCTGCATATTTGGCTTAATATTTTTATCCCTATTCTGGATCTTATTCTCCAAATAATGTTTGACACATTATTCCAGAAATACTACCCTATTTTTTTTAATTTTATTTAAACCCCATAAGGTTATTAATTTCACTAAATACCCCCTGAAAAAAAAGTTTAAAAATTAACAAAAACACCCCCATCAACCCAACTTGTCATATTCCGGCAACCACCGTCGGTGATAGTCGGAATCTATACAACGGCCTAACTTCCGACCAAAAATGGCCGGAAGTTCACCTCTGTGGCCTTTTCTGGCCAGATCCACCACGAATCTGGCCGTCAGCGACGGCCAAAGAAATGGTTGTCGTTGACCGAAAATGACGGTCACATCTTTGGCCGTCGCTGACGGCCAAAGATGGCCCTCGTTTGGCCTTTTCCGACCGTCGACGGCCATAACAGACCGTAGATCTGGCCTTTTCCGGCCAGATCCACCATGGATCTGGCCGGAAAAGGCCATAACGACGTGTTACGGCACAGATCCGACCGGTCTGTGCCGTAACGAAATTTTTCGGCCAGATTCCGGCGGCGGTGGCCGGAATCTGACACTGCAGGTGGTGGGGGTGTTTTTGTCATTTTATATGTTAGGGTCTTTAGTTAAATTAGTAAACCTAAGGGCTTTTTCATAAATTTTTAAAATTTACCTCTTAATACTCCCCTATCCAATAACCCAATATTATCCCTAAAATCCTATCCAAAATACTAAACCAAACGCACCCTTTATTGTTTTGGATAAGATTTTTGAAAAAGTTAGAGCTGGGTATTTATTACAAGATAAGAGTTAAAAATTAATAAAAATATCATCACCCACTCATTAAATACTGTCAGCCGGTCACCATTGTTGGAAGGTGGCTGAAGTTGCCGTATCGACGTAAGACCTGCTGGATCTGACCGATCGTGCGTCGATATGACATTTTTCAGTTAGATCTATGATAGATTTGATCAGAAAATACTAGATTTGGCCGCGTTTGGTCATCAATGACGGCTGAAGATATGGCCGCCGTTGTTGACAACTAGCTACGGCCAAAGATCTGGCCGCCAATGACCAGATCTTTGGTTGTAAATATGACATTTTCTGACCAAATCCATAGTAGATCTGGCCAGAAAAAGCTAGATCAGCGTGCTACCAACCATATCTCGCCGATAGTGCGTCATTATACCAAATTCTGGCCGCCTTTCGATGGTGGTGGCTAGAATCTGACAAATATGGGTGAGTGAGGGTGTTTTTGTTAATTTTTAAACTTTTTTTAAGGGTGTTTAGTTAAATTAAAAAATCTAAGAGGTTTGAAAATAATTGAATAAAATATAATAAGATTTTCAAAATAGAAATAAATGTGTATTTTGGGTGGTTGGACCATAACAGCAACTATCGAAACAACAATCTGATTCTAGAGAAGCCAAAAGTAGGACGAGTGACTCTGTAGTGATTTAGGGAGAGAGTGCTTTGTGGAATGAAATATAAGAAAAATCATTGTTAAAGTAGGGAGTTTCAGCGATTTCAGAAGAAAAATTGTTGTCTGAGATTGTTTTGAACAGTGGTTTCCCAAGACATGCCGAGATATGAAGCAGAAAGCCCCAAAACGTAAGAAACCAAGACAACAACTTTACAGATATTTTGTGACACATAACCCACTATAGATTTTGGATAGAAGTTTCGTGTTAAGGCACTTTGTTTAAAAAAATAATAATAATAATATACATATACTGTATATTACAGACTGATTGGCATATAAAAGTCGATTTAATAAAATTTTAATAATCAGAAAGTCAACGTATACCTAATTTATTTTTAACAACCAATTACTTTTATCTTGCTAAAAAGTTAATTGCGTGGACAATCTAAGCATCTCTTCTAGATGACTCGTTAGTGGTTAGTCCAAAATTACTCACGTGAACAATCTAAGCATCTCTTCTAGATGACAGGTTAGACTTAGACTTAGACCCAATGTTTTAAAATCCGACACAGTCCAACTGATTTAATCGAGACCCGAAAGCTTCAACGAGCCGAATTTATATTTTTCCTATTCACCAAAAACCCTAAGATTTAAAAGGATGATTGACGAACAATTAACGGCCAAAATATTGAGGATATTGAAGAGAAAATGCCGATGAATGCAATGGTGGTGACATAGTTTATTTTCCATCGATCGAAAATTGAACAAAATTGGCAACGACAACAATCGACTTTTGCTAGTAATTGACGAGGCTAACGGGGATGGAGTAGAGTGGGTTTTGGTCAAGAGGAAGAGGGGAGTAATTTTTGAGTGATGGGGAGGGTTGTTAATGCCACGTCGATGAGATCTGACTTAGAATGCCGACATAAGAGTTAGTGAGATTTGACCAAAATAGAACATATTTTAACCAAATCTTAGGTATATTTTAAGGGGAATGGGCTCAAGGGATGATTAGGGTTACATTTAGGGTGTCGTCGCTGTCAACCAATTGCCGACCAATTTATATTTGGGGTATGATTGCTAAATTTTAAACCTATAGAAACTTAACTGTGATTTTTAAAGGTGTATTTGCTAAATTTTAAAAGTTTTTGTCAACTGGTTTGACCATTGGTCAAACCGATCAACCCTACAACTTTGTCGGGTTTCACCCCGTGTTGGGTTTTAAGACATTGCTTAGACCATAACAATAACATGTATTGCCACATATATGCTAATATAATTGTCAAAATTCTTATTACTACTAATATGGTAAGTGTTTACTAATTAGCACAATAAAAACATGCCCCTGAACTTGAAAGACTAGCATAATCCTCCAAAATCAGTGAATTTTAAAAACTATTATTACTAATGATTAAATGATTAATCTGTTAGAATTTTACATCGACTAGACACACTCAAGCCTACTGGTTTATAAGAGAAGATAGTCTTCCCATTCAAAAAAGCTTTATTGGGTGAAGAGTCAGACCTACCTTAAATTCTATCATGGTATCAGAGTCAAGTTCAGTTGGCGTAAGTGTTTGATCAACAGGTAAAGAATTAAAGTTAACAACTACCTCTATCAACAAGCATGACTCAACATATGGGTTTGACGGTAAGAAAACAATGAGAGGAAGTGTTAGAGTTCCACACCAACTAGGCACACTCAAGCCAATAGTTTATAAGAAGGGGTAATGAGAAGTCCCACACTTATTAGGCTTAAGCGTGTTAGAATCCCACACTAATTAGGCATGCTCAAACCTACTAGTTTATAAGAGGAGATAATGAAGAGTCTCACACCGATTAGACATGCTTAAGCCTATTGGTTTATAAGAGGAGATAATCCTCTCATTTAAAAAGGCTAGTAAAATAAACTTTAAATGGAGTCCTCTCGCAGTATTTTGCACAATTTCAATTTGGTTTCAAGGGCAATGGAGTTCTTTTGGGGTAGACAGCACCTGGAGGCAGAGTTAATAATATCTCATAACAGTTCTTTAATGTAAAACAAATTTGGCTTGAATCAAAGAAACATTTCATTTTTTATGATCATCAATAAACAGTTTTTTTTCTTCCTTTTAATCCAAGATTGATCATAGACGAAGACAGATACCCAAATGGTGTAGAAATCATAAAAGAAAGGAACTAATTGAACAAGGATTATTTTAAGAAAATTAACCATTGCATCAACATGAACAAGAACCAGTTGAAGCATCAGACTCCGGAGGATTTTGTGTGAAAATGTTCTTTTTCACACCACTTGACCCTTCAGCTAAGAGACTTGGCGTTTCCAATATCTGCAAAAGAAACATTAATCATCAAGTGCCGAGCTTACTGTTCAAACTAAACATTGAATTACTGGATTATGAAAAAATACAATCATATATGCATATATCCCAAAACAGAACATGGTCCAAGCCTACGACCTACAAGAAAATAAAGAGTAGGTAGAAAATGCTAACGTTATATGTACCTTTAAAACCAGCTCCTCAAAGCATTGCTCCACATTGACCCGAGTTTTTGCACTACACTCAAGAAAAAGGCAGCCGTATTCCCTAGCAAAGTCCATCCCCTCTTTCTTGGTGACAACTCTTTCGCTTTCCTGAAGAAGATGAATTGGACATAAAGGATAACATTGAATGATACAAACATTACGATGAATTCAAGAAACAAACATAGTAATATCTTATCTAATACTAACAGAAACATGAGACGGAAAAGTATCAATGGACTTCGTAACTAAAGTACTAGCAAAGGATACCAGAACATTCAATTAACTGAAAGGATACTATGAAGTTCTTGATGGTATACCTTGTCAACTTTGTTTCCAACAAGCATTTTGATGCAATCTTGATTTGTTGAGTACAAATCAATTTCTTTTGCCCAAATATCAGATAAATTTGTAAATGTATCTCGCCGTGTCACATCATACACTGTACTGATTTCAAAAAGCAATTAGTTATACTGACACAATAAACTCAAAGTAAGAAAATGAAAATATATGAAAAAACAACCCAAACAAATCAGACAGTTCAGAAAATAACACAATAATATAATTGTCCTGTTTCAAACAGATTGGAATCAGGAAATACGAATACTATTTGGTTGGACCCTCCCATTAAAAGTTCATCCCCCTAACACACACACACACACACACACACACACACACACACACACATATATATATAATATTGCCCTCAAAATTCTCAGATTCTCACATAAGAAAAAGAATAATTCACAAGATAATAAATTTAATGCATATAGAGTTATAATTGAGGAATATGTAAGAAAAGATAAAGAAAAAATGTGCTGTAATCCTTATCATTATCACTATTAAAAGTGATTGGTTTCTAACATCAATATATTTGAAATAAGATAATAACAGTGGAACATTTAAGATGGCTACTGAAAAAAGAAAATTTAATAATGACTGAGATAAAACTACATACCCATAATTATCCCTTGAGCTCCTCTATAATATGAACTAGTTAGTGTTCTAAATCTTTCCTGTCCAGCTGCATCAAAACACAATAGAGGCATTTACATTCACCAACTTAATATAAAAAAAAAAGTTTCTTCATCACTTATGAACATGTTATGGACATTGTCAATTTTAACTCCTTGATTTACATGTGGATATCCAAAAGCCAAATTAAAGCATATAATAACACCTGTAGTAATGAATCATCTCAGTAAAAAAGTTCATAGCAATATAAAAATAGCACCAGTCCTAAATGAATCATCTCATAATTAAAAGAAGATGTACTTCCATAAAATGGGATAACCCTGGCCACAACATTGCAGTTTTCATTTCTGTTCCTTCTCTTGAACAGCTGGAGCATTTTAATCTCAAGTCTATTTCATGACAACAAGTGACATTCACCTCCTCAGGGAATTTTCCATCAAGATGAAATTTTTACCCACCCAGTTGAGTCTCCCATGTTTATATATATATATATCACCTGAATTTTTTTATAAATCAATCTAGCCTCTATTTTAAACGGTCTAATGGTATTATAATAACTTAAAAGAATAAATCCTAACAACAGGGATAAAACAGTATATAATAGTATCATAATCTTAGTCAATTTGCAGTGAGCTTATACACACACCTATAGCTCATTAGTATCATCCCGATTCATATCTTTTTATAGATTTAATTTAGAAATTAGAACTTAAAAAGTTGGACATGCTAATCAACTTTCAATAGCATCTTAACAATTAAAAAAAAAAATATTCAACAACAGATTATTTGATCGATAAAATTTATAATTACCTAATACATATTAAACTCACAAAATAAAACTGGAAACAAAAATCAGTAACCAAAAAAAAACAAATTACCAGTGTCCCAAATTGCAAGCTTCAACTTCTTACCACCAAGAGTAACATACTTAATCTTAAAATCAACACCTACAATAATCAAGATAAAAACTTTTAACCAATCCCAGTTCCAAAATCAATCCACAAACAAGAAGAAGAAGAAGAAGAAGAAGAAGAAGAAGAAGAAACAGCAAAAACCAATACCAATAGTAGGATTCAACTCCTCAAAAGTATTAGAAGTAAAACTCAAGAGTAGAGTACTCTTGCCAACCCCAGAATCCCCAATCAATAACAACTTAAACAAGTAGTCAAATTCTAGCTGATTCGCCGCAGAAGCCATCAAAAACAGAAACTTGAAAGTATTCAGAAAACAAAGGAATGAACTTGATGAGTTTGGATCTTGAAGTTGTTGCCTTTACACAAATATCAAGCAATGTATGCGAAAACACAAAGAAACAAAAAAGTAAAGCAGAACAGAAGGAAAGCTCTAACCTCTTCTTGTTTCTTGTAAAGAGTGCGTCTTTGTCTGCCGACGATAACTTATTTGGGCGGTTAAGGAAAGAATCTGGTGCTTTTCAACGCACGTTGTTAAGGTATTAGCGATGTTGACAACCGTTGGTTTAGAAAGACATGTGGGTTTGTGACTTTGTGTTCTTAGGTTGCTTCCTGATTTGGTTAACAATTATATTAAAATAATAAGCATTAGTTGAGCTAATCTTAATCACAGTGATGTTATCCGTCGATTCTTCAGTGCCAGATATTATTTTTTTGGTTTGTTAAAGAATTATACCAGTTAATTAATATTATAATACGATCCTTATCAACTAATTAATAGTTGGTATTGTGTATCAATCTATTGACAAACTCCCATAATTTAAATTATTAGGTTGTATTTGGTTCAGGGAATATTATATTATTAGAAAGATAGATTACTAGAAAATTTTTAGAGAAATGGATTTGATCGGTTAGAATAAATTAGTGGGTATGTTATAATAATATGTTTGGTTGGGAGGATAAATGAGTGCGTATGTTATGTAGATTACTAAATTGACCTCCTCTTTAAATAATAATATATTATTATTTTATTCTATTATTTTTGTTAACCCCCCTATATTTGAAATTTTACTAAAAAACCCCAACCATATACAATTATAATTTATAGCAAAATCACCCCTACTCACCTCAAGCCACCGCCGGCAGTCGCCATAATGGCTCACAACCAACCGAATCTGGCTGGTCGTGCGTCGATATGGCCTAATTCGGCCAGATCTGATCGTGAATATGGTCGTTTTATGGCTAGATCTGGTCGTGAATATGACCGTTTCACGGCCAAAGATATGGCCGTGAAAATGCCAGATCTTTGGTTGTGAAATGGCTACCATTTCACGGCCACATCTTTGGCCGTGAAACGGCCAGATCTGGTCATTTCTGGCCATGGATCACAAATCCATGGCCGGAAATGTCCTTATCAACACACGACCGACAAGATCCTGTTGGTCTTGTGCCAATATGATGACTTTGGCCAACGGCCAGCGGTGGTCTTGGGTGGTTTATGGTATTTTGTTAACTTTTAACTTTTTTTGTGGCGGAGGTGTTTTAACTAAATTCTCAAATGTAGGGGGTTTGGGATAATTGTTATTTGGTTGACATATGAGGGCAAATGTGTCCGAAATGATAAAAGATTAATGGCAAAATAGGGTCAAAATTAAGATTACCTCGGTAATCTTATATCAACACCTCTTGGGAGGGTAATCTGATTACCCTCAATATTACCAACAGTAAAACATTATTTGCAATAAAAGATTACGTAATATTTTATTACTTGACAACCAAATAAGGAAATCTTGAAAATTAAACAAAGATTACATGATTAATCTTATATCACTCTGAACCAAACCCTACCTTAATGTTATTACTTACTATATTCCTTTAGCTCTCACTTGTTGGGTGCCTGTCGTACTTTTTGATTTAGTAAGTGTGTACAATAATGACACGTCATACACAACAGTGTATATAAACTAGCGTAAAACTTGCAGATCCCGATAATAAATGAAATGTCGGTCTCTAGGGGTGCGTTTGGTTCCATATTATTATCTATATTCCCAATTCTATTCCCCAAATATTGTTTGGCACATTATTTGAGAAATATTATTGTATTTTTTAATTACTTTTAGACCCCTTAAGTTTACTAATTTCATTAAATACCCCCAGAAAAAAGTTTAAAAAGTAACAAAAACACCCCCTAAACCCATACTTGCCAGATTCAAGCAACCANTTTTTTTTTTTCTAATAATGTATACTGAATTTTCAATTATAATCTATGTAGATTTTGTTGATGTCTAAAATATCATAATTTTAAAGTATATATATATATACTAAAATCTCTATATAGTGATACTCTATATAGGAATAAACTCTACATTGTAATAAGTTATAATTTTTCTAATTCTCGCCTTAAGGAAAATTGTCTCTATATAATAATAATTATCTGTATATTACAAAAAAAAAAAAAATATATGTTATGTAAAATTAAAGGTTTAAAATGAAATAAAATATTTATTTAAAATTGTTTGGGACAATGATTTATGCTTATCATATCTTTTACGTTACGCGTACGTAATAGCTCGTTAGCATGTATATCTTTTTGTTGAAGCCAAAATATTTTTAGTTTCTTAAACATGTTTAGAACTTCATGACATAAAACTTTTTGTATTTCCGTACTATTATCTTTAGGATTATTTCCTTTCTCTTCTTGTCTAATTGTAACAATGATTTCTCCTTTAGTTAAAGCATACTCGATTTGTTGCTCATTTGGATAATCGAAGAAAACATTAATATTCATTCGATTAGTGTAGTGAAGTTGTCGAATCTGATCACTCAATTCTATAGTAACTCTTTTATTCTCCTCATCCATTTCATTTGTAACTTACAATTCATTGACATTAATGATCCTAATTTTGCAGCGCTTAAAACCATTGACAATTGTCTGTGGCTTTACATCAGCTGACTATGCATCAACTGCATTTACAGTTTCATCAATGATACTTATTTTTGCTGGTTCTAAGAAACAATCTTTTATCCATTTCAAAAGTAGGCAATTGCTTATTTTTGCTGGTTCCAAGAAACAATCTTTTATCCATTTCAAAAGTAAGCAATTGAAGCACTGAATTAAAATCCTAATATTACTAAAATATAAATTGAAATCCTAATATTGTACTACTAAAAAATGAATTATAAAATAAGAAATCAAAACTATAATTTTTGTAATTACACCTTTATTAAGTTATAACCTCCTTATAGAAATAAAATTAGTTAGTCCCACTATTATAACTATAGAGAGGTTTTATTATTATTATATATATATATATATATATATATTAAATCTGAAAGAATTTAATGTGCTTGATTTTAAATCTTCAAATTAGATCCGCATTTAAGTACATGCAAGGAAAATCATTATACGAAATCAGATTTTATATAGATGTAAATCCCCATTGGCCATTCTTAATGCTTTCATTAATACGATATCTCAAGAGTTGATTACAATTGAATAGTGAATACATTGCCTATCTCCGATTAAGGAAAGAAATTAAAAAAGCTTCCATGCCCAATAATGCTCAAAGATTTTCCTACCAAACTCCTCATTATATAAAGGAATATATATGCATGCCACCAAAGCCATCATCCTTCGCTAGTATTAATAAATACCATCTAATAATAAGCCAATATGGAAAAAATAGTGGTAGTTATTATCGGTGCTGGCCCTGCTGGTCTAGCTACCTCTGCATGCCTCAACCATTTCTCTATCCCCAACATTGTCCTAGAAAGAGAGGATTGTTGCGGTTCTCTCTGGAAGAAAAGGTCATATGATCGCATGAGTTTGCACATCGCAAAGCAATTTTGCGAGCTTCCTCATATGCCATTTCCTTCTAATGCACCCACATTTATGCCTAGGATTGACTTCATTAATTACTTGGACAATTACGCATCCCAGATTGGGATCAACCCTCGATTCCACAGGTCTGTGGAATCTGCAAGCTACGATCAAAATGCGAAATCATGGATCATTGAGGTGAAGAACACAGCTTTAGATAAATTTGAATTTTATGCTGCCCAATTTCTAGTTGTTGCCACAGGTGAAAATAACGAAGGGCTGATTCCCGAGCTGCCTGGGCTCGATAGCTTTCGAGGAGAGTACATACACTCTAGCCAATACAAGAACGGCAACACGTTCAGTGGCAAAGATGTTTTGGTTGTTGGTTGTGGGAACTCAGGCTTGGAGATTGCTTATGATCTTTCAAATTCGGGTGCCCAAACTACCATTGTTTCTCATCGTCCGGTAATTCTCTCTTTTAAACCACACACAAATATGCTTATATAATACGTTCGTTTCAACTAAGATTTTTATCAAAACTAATTTACAAGTATTTATGTGACAAATGTGTACTACAGGTACATATTCTCACCAAAGAAATTGTTCTTTTGGGAATGCTCTTACTCAAGATTCTCCCATGCAAATTAGTGGACTACATCGTTATGTTACTTAGTAAACAAAAGTTGGGAGATATCTCTCATTACGGGCTTAAAAGACAGACTATGGGACCGTTTTATCTCAAACAAACTACGGGTCAATCACCTACGATTGATGTTGGTGCCATAGGCAAGATTAAAACAGGAGAAATCAAGGTACTTGTTAAATTTTTATAAATCCACAAAGCAATATTCTCCAAAATTAGATGAGTATTTTATAATATAGTGAAATGATGATTGTGATGACAGGTTTTCCCCTCTGTGATGAGGATAAACGGGAAAGAAATAAACTTTGAAAATGGCAAGACAAAACAATTCGACGCTATTATCTTTGCTACTGGCTACAGAAGTACAGTAAGGAACTGGCTACAGGTACAGTAAATACTTTATTCTCGTTCAATTTTATCATTAATCTGCTTATTGCTAAGTTGAATAATTTAATTAAATTAACTCTATCTAACTGATGCAGGAGGGCGAGGACCTTTTTAATGATTCTGGTATGCCGAAAAGAAGTAGCCCTAGTCACTGGAAAGGAGAAAATGGTTTGTATTGTGCTGGATTCGCCAGAAATGGATTACTAGGGATTTCAGTTGACGCCCAGAATATAGCAAAGGACATCAAGTTGGCTCTAAGTCAGAGTTAAGGACAAAATATAACAAGATTTCAGAACGAGTTTATGCATGCACCCTCCTGCAAAAACATACATAAATAATCTACAAACATGGAACTAGTTGCAGTTTTTCATGTTTTCTCAATAAAGGTGTAATAGATTCTATATATATATATATATATATATATTTGATCTTTGATATATGGTCTCTCAATTCATGGTGTTTCTGCAGGGAAGAAAGACAATAAATTAAGGATCTATAGTCATATGGTTCTGGACCTTGTCCACTTAACTACAAGATAATATTTAATTAACTACAGGATCTATAAATTTTGTACAGCTTCTTTGTCTTAAAGTTTGATAAGAACTAGATGTATAAATTGGCTTTAATTAAGTTACTCTTTAATCCAACTTCCAATAAATTCCAGTCCAGACCAGATTGAATATATGAAATTAATAAGTTATTAAGATTTGATTTAATTTACTGCTTAAATATTTATACTTCTTTTTCGACAGTATTATATGATTTAGTTCAAATTATGGTAAGAATAGAGATAAACTTTGAATGTTAATAATAATATTAACATAATAATTATCCATAAATAATTTTGGGATACAACTTATTTGTTGTTGTATCTTTGTAAACATTTTGGTATAAAAATAAAATAAAATATTTAATAGTACTTGTATATATATACTTGTTCAGGATATTACGACTTTAATTTTTGACAAAAATATTGGACAATACATATCATTCTAAGGGATTATAGATAAGTTGGTAGTACGGATTAACTTAACTACTCTCAAAATCATTAATTAGTTTAATAATAAACGAACCACAGGTAATTAACCTGACTTTGCTTAACAATAAAAGAAAAATCGAGTTACAAATAAAGTTAATGGCTATTTTAAGAAGTATAGTTAAGTTGTTGGCGTTAATTGAAGAAATTGCTTCCGTGTCTTCACCAAAAAACCTCTGTAGATGGGCTAACAGTCGCCAACTCTTGGTTGCTATCAAAAGAATGTCCATCGTTGTCAGTAACATGTATAAATATGTTCGATAGATTGTGAACAAAATGCACCCTACAGCCAAAATCATAAGCTTGTAGCTCCAGTGCCAAGGACATCGAGCTGGCACTGTCTATTAGTTTAATCGATCAAATAATATATACAAAATCACAAATTAAACCTCTTCCATCAATCTAATATCATTTAATCCTTTTGGGATTAAGTAGGCATGGAAATGGCAGAAGAAGCTAATGTTATCATTGTTGGAGCTGGTCCGGCTGGCTTAGCCGCCTCTGCATGCCTCAATCGTCTTCACATTTCCAATATTTTACTAGAGAGAGAGGACTGTTGCGCCTCTCTCTGGAAGAAAAGGTCTTATGATCGATTAAAACTACATCTTGCAAAGGAGTTTTGTGCACTTCCTTACATGCCCTTTCCCCCAAATGCACCACGATTTGTTCCCCGGATACAGTTCATCCAGTACCTGGAAAATTACGTCTCACATTTTCAGGTCAATCCGCAATGCAATCGATGTGTTGTGTCAGCCGAATACGACCAATCGCGTAGGCGATGGAAAGTTGTGGCTGAGAACTCGGCTTCCAACACTGAAGAATTGTATTTTGGGAAATATCTTGTGGCTGCCACTGGTGAAAATAGTGAAGGTTTCATTCCAAATTTACCTGGCTTGAACCTTTTTGGAGGGGATTACCTGCACTCGAGTGAGTACAGAAATGGGAATGCTTACAAAGGCAAAAATGTATTAGTTGTTGGTTGCGGAAACTCTGGCATGGAGATTGCTTATGATTTACAAAAATGGGGCGCTAAAACATCAATTGCTGTTCGTAGCCCGGTAAATAATTTATAATTTTCTCTATTTTATACGATACAATATCACTTTTTCGATACTAAATACTACTTGTGTCATATGCAGGTGCACATACTGAATAAGAATATAGTGTGGTTATCAATGACAATATTGAAATTTCATGTTTCAATCAAGAAAGTAGATAAAATAGCAACGAGGCTTGCAAAGTTAAAATATGGAAATTTATCCAAGTATGGACTTCCAAGGCCTAAAGAGGGACCATTTTATCTGAAAGCAACCACTGGCCGATCAGCCACCATCGATGTTGGTTGCTTGAAGAACATTAAGAAAGGAAAAGTCAAGGTATGTATCTTTCATGCATTATTTAAATATATTTCTCTCTGACATAGTTAACATCAGGTGAGTTTGATTGATCTTGTTCATGATTTTGATAATGTTAATACTTTTCTACAGGTTTACCCAACTATCAAAAGCGTTGATAGAAGTAAATACATCGAATTTAACAATGGCGACATGCGAAAATTCGATGCCATTATTTTTGCCACTGGCTACAGAAGTACTGTCAGGAAATGGCTTAAGGTATATTTACATCATTTAATTACCCCAAATCTAAATTGTTTCAATGTGAATAATTTAACTGAAAAGTGTTTGTTTGGACTGCATCCACAGGATGGTGGAGGGCTCTTCGATGAAACTGGATTACCTACGAAAAATACAAATTCCTGGAAAGGAGAAAATGGACTTTATGGTGCTGGATTTGCAAGACAAGGATTGTTTGGTATCGCCAAAGATGCTAGAAATATAGCAGAAGATATAAAGTCTGACTTGACTAGTCAAAACCAGAGAAATAATTGATGGAAAAGAAACCATATATTGAATGTTTCTCATCCGAATTTTTCTGAGGTTGTTGATTGCCATCTAGATTTACCTATGGTTTATGTATTTCAGTATTTGTACTCCGAATATTGAATAAAATGGACGGCGATATTATTGTCATAATTTTTTTTGTTCCTGGCTAAATAATAAGGGCTACAACAACCATAGAAAATCAGAAATTGATTAATTATAATATATGAGAATCAAAATAATACATAAACATATGCTATAGTTCTCGCCACGTTCTGATTATAAAACACTTCTTATTACATGCGAATAATAATATAATTCTTGACTTATACACGATCATATATCAAATTGTTCAAGCTGGACATCCTTTGATTTCAAAGGAACATATTCTCCTAGATAAACTTCGAGGTGATCCGATAGAGCTGATTTGTCTATATTTTCATGGTGATACGATTTGCAGACGAAGTAGATCACCGTTTGGATGACGAGGCCGAACAAAATCAACTTGAAAAGTAACAAGAAACAAAGTATCCCATATGAAATCCTGCTCACCATGGCCAGTCTCCATCCATGCACAACTAGATGCTGAAAAACTCTTCGAATGAGATAAAGAGAACCATTCAGCGTGATGACGATTACCGACGCCACCACCAATTTTCCTTTAATCAATGCCTGGCTCTTCATCATGGCAGGAAATCCACAGGACTCTTCCAACACAGACACAACGCTCGCCAAATGCCAAATTATGGTCAAATAAAAAGATCCCACCAAGTAAAAGATAAAAATAACCCAGAAAACTGGCATTCCAACGCTTGTAAAGCCAATCGAATGCCACCAAACAACGACAATTAAAAATGCAAAAACGTTGTACACAAAGAAAGTAACGAAACTACAAATAAAAGTGACCATAAGTCGCTTCCAAACCTTAGGGACGACGCTCAAAACCTTCTTGAAGCTCACTTCTTTGCCGGAGTAAATACAGGCGATGGTGTAAACGACGGCCGCGGTCGAAAGGAGCGATAGGGCGAGGTAGAAAGTAAAGTATGCAGCTTGGAAAAGCCAGAAATAAGCCTTTTCAGTGGAGATGACCTGAGAGAGCTTGTCGGATTTCGAAGTGCCAGCTCGAGTTTCGTACAGTTGAATTTCGGTGTGGATGATTTTTCTGTAGAGGAGATTGGAGATTTCCATGTGGGCTAAGAAGATGAAAGATAGAGGGAGGATTAAGGAGACAGTGATCTGGCTGAAGATTTTTCTCCATGTGAAGATCACCTTGTAGGCTTCTTTGTAGATGCCAAAAAGCCCAAGAAATTGCATCTCTTCTTGTTCTCTATCCATGACTGCTCTTCAAAAGAAGCTATAGCTAATTCTGCTATGGAGAAGATGGAGATGGAGATGGAGAGGTTAATGAATATAGGAAATTGATAAGTCAACGACTATATTGATCATAATTAAATAAATTAAAAAGGGGATAAATAAATAGACTTGTTGTGTTTGATCTTACTGGACGGCAAAGACTAAGTCATTTTTCGTCGGGTCGTTCACGTCAAGATTGAGAAATATTAAAATATTGGATGGAGCAATTTCTTTCCATCTGCTAAAGTCTTTGTTGGAATCGAACGGGGTCAATACGCTCCAAATTTTTCTACCTAGGAATTTTCTTCAACTCATAATTACATACGATAATGATCCTTCCTTTATGCCTAAACCATCTCTTTTGTTCATTAATTGAAGACCCTTAAGGGCGATTTTCCTTTTATCTGTTTGTATTTTTATCTCTGTTTTTGTCAAAGGTAGGGTCGATAATTTGTTAAAAGAGTAAACGATTTTTGCCCGCCTTAATGACAATTTTTCGTTAAAAAAGTTTCAAATACCATTTTTTTATCCAATGTTTATATTCTGTTAATATCTAAAATATACTTCAATTTCTCAATTGGCATTCAACGAGTTACTAAGAGCCAAGATAAGAGGGTTTTTGTAGAGTAGAGGCTGGTGGATCGAATAGTGGTGATCGATTGAATATTGATCATCGAAAATCATCTAAGAATAGGAAACCCTAACTTTATGGTTGCCAAAAATCGATAAAAAATCAAGTGTTGGGGTAAGAGAAGTTTTGTAGAGAGGAGATCGGAGGTTCAAATGGTTGTGATAGAGAGAATGTTTGCCGCTGCAACCGGCTTTGGGTAGTAATAGAAATTAATTTTGGGTGAAAAAATAGTATTTTGAAACTTTTTGAGTGAGAAAATGCCATTAAGGCAAACCTTGAGTGGGAAAAAGTTGTTTACTCTTCGTTAAAAGAGTAATTCTACATTTACACCACTCTTTTATATTATTTTCATTACATTATGATGTGGCATATGTGATAACCACACAAATTCTATTATAATATTAAAAATTTAAAATAATTAAAAAATTATATAATTGTGACATATGCTACATCATGGTATAAAGAAAATGGTGTAAAAAAATATTGTAAATATAGCATTATTCTTGTTAAAATCATAAAGTCAATATAATTCTTGGACTAAATCATTAATTAATTAGACTAAAAGAGAAAATGGGCCAGGCGACGTGGGCTCAGCTTTAAAGGGTTAACTCTCGTATACACTTATTTTGCAATTGATTTCGAGATTATAGTCTACAGATAGATCATACGGACAGTTTTTAAAATTATTCTGAAAATTGTCATAAATAAATCTACTTCAGAATTTTAAAAAGCCTCATTAAAGTTTCAAAAATCTGTTTAAAAAATCTTTTGCAAAGAAGTTGTGAACCTATTTTCTATGCATTTGCTTTATTGTAATTAGGTCAAACTCAAGAAAGTGAATGAAATTACTTGTTGGAGATCCTAATTAAGTTGTTGATAATTAAATCCAGAATTATTGGATAAGTGAAACAAACGAACAAAGTGATCAGTCCACTAGGGGTGTTTAGAAAAATGCAAAAACCAAGTTGAATCGGTAACCAAACTGATTTTTCGGTTAACCAAAAAACAAGTTCGGTTTCGGTTCATAGAAATCGAAAAACCACATTTTTGGTTCGGTTACCAGTTTGGGAGAAAATGTAAACCGGTTTACAATATTATAATAATATATATATTAAATTAAAATATATAAAAAATCCCTAAACCTAAATCCCTTTTACATATGTGTGAATGTTTAATTTTTATTTGGATATGTATTGTTGATGTTTACAATTTAAATTAGGAAAAAATTTAAAAAAAAAATTAGTTTAAACCTTAATGGGATAACCGATTCAAAACAGGTTAACCGCTTTGAAAAAACCAGTTTAATTTCGGTTCAGAAAAATTCTTAAACCCAAAAACCAATTTAAGAAAACGGTTAACCGGATTGGTTAACCCGTTTTGAACACCCCCCACTAGTTTCAGTTTTGGGTAAAAATGGTATTCGTTAGAGGAAGGGTTGAAATTTCAACCTTAATTTCCATTTGATGCGCTTTGAAAGTGATATAACCCTTTTGCCTAATCACAATCTCAATCCTTCTACGTAGTAAAAAAGAACAAATGTAGAATGGGAGGATGAAGTCTTTTCATTAAGATTCATTGATCTAAACAAGAAGAAATGGTTACATAATTGGATTAACAGAACCCATATTGACCACAGATAACACCAAGAAGATAAAACAGAGTAACACTCAAAACTTTTATTTTGCAGTCACACCCTAATCAAGCCCCACTCTGTTTAAAACAAGTAATGTAAACTAGCAAAACACTAACGTAATTATTAGAGAGAGTTATTAATCTCATCAGATTACACGGCATTAACAGCAATCTTCATCCCAGATTGACAGTGCCCAGAGAAGCTGCATATAAAGAAGTTTTGTCCCTTCACCAACTTGATCCGATCCTTGCCTGATTTGAACACTTTTGCATGCCCCGGAGTCTTACAGCTGCTGTAACTTCCTCCGTTTACCGCCACCACATTGTGGATAGTTGGATTGTAGTTGAACACTGTAATTAACGTTCAAATAATGCACTTAATTATCATAACATCTTTCATTAATATATCTTTAATTATCATTGAGAAAACTTACCAAGAATATCTCCAGCTCTAAAGCTCTTTCCTTTGGGCCAGTTAGCCACGTTGAAATTCCAACCACCAGCGCCTCCCACAGTGTAGGTTGCCGCATTAACGTTTTCAACAGAAACCAGTAGGAGGCATAGCACTACTGCTGCAGAAAACAGGGCGAGATTTGCACTGCCTCTTCCCTGAGACATTTTCTTAGCTGAGATTGTTTGTTTAACTAAGAGAACTTTCAGTTAGAGCTCCAGTTGAGGTAGTAAAGATGCAAATCTAAATGTGCTTTTATAAGGAGGAAAAGAGCAATGGTAGTAGTTAGATTTTGAAAAAATGGACACACACCCAACTCAAAGACAAGATGGTGACTTTAACGGAGTATTTAATTGATTAAAGTTTAGGCCAACAACCCACAAAGACACGAAGGGGTGATCGTAAATTGACCAGAAAGGGATAAAACTGAAGTGCTGTTTTAAAGAACAGAGTTTGTATAGATAAAAGTGAACCCTGATTGCGTAATATCCATGTGGGTTTGTGGAGATTTAAGGGATCTTGGAGCTAGTGCTATCTAACGTGTAGTGATGACATTATCTAAGTAGTGGTGCACAGTAATAATAACTCCTGCTCACGCAAGCCACAGTTAGCCCACCCGTGAATTTCATTTGAAGGTATTTGCTCATTGTTTTAGGCAAATAATGGAGTAACCATCCCCTGATGTTTCTGTTGGGGGGAATTCTTTTACCCTTAGCCGGACCAAGACAAACAAGTTCAATTACATCCCGACCTAACGCAATTATATATCACAGATACATTGACACTACGACCGTCAACTGATTCCTTTATCAATTGTTTTTCTCTCATTTAGATCTAGATCTATATTTGATCTACAGGAAATCACTAGATAATATCTAAGCCCAGTAATAAAACAACAGAAGTGGATTTTATTTTATTTTCTTTTATCCAAGCAGGAAGGACCCGACATTACAATAATACAAGTAGTTATAATCACAATCCTAGGAAAAAGACATGGTAATAGCCATCACTTACAAGGTTAAAGGATGGCCAGGATTCTAGCACGAGTTTTTCCTTCATGATTTTGTTTCAATATCATTCTTCAAGTTTAAATACCTCGTTTCAAGCTCAAGCCAACTGATTGAATCCTCAAAGGTGGCCATCTTGTGGAGGTGATTTCTAGTAGTTCCATTTTCCTTCATTATCTTGAGGACATCAAGCAAGGCACGTGCTGATGCATAGAAGGTTGAGAGTGGATGCACGATCAAATGGAAACCCATTGCTTTCACTTCCTCAGGAGTGTGTAAGGGTGTGACTCCACCTTCATACATATCACAAACTCTGTAACCCTTGGTCTTGCGACCAATCTCTTCAAGCTCTTTATCATCTCTTGGAGCCTCCACAAAGGAGGCATCAGCTCCTACCTGAAAAAATGCATATAAGTAAACTCATTGATGCCGGACAGTCTGATTCTGTAAAACGTCTTCTCCGAGGGAAATACTTTGAAAAATGTGATCACACAACATTTTGTGACGACTGACATTGCAAAATGAATACCTCCACGTAAAGATTAGCCTGGCAATTGCATCTGACAAACCCTTTTTTCCTGATGTTACACGCGCATCAGTCCTAGCCATGAGAAAAAAGTCAGAATCACCAATAGCATCCCTGGCAGATGCTATTTTGACAGCATGCTCCTCAGCAGGTATTATCTGAAGTAGGACACGGGAGAAAAGCAGGAAAGATGTCAAGTACTTTTTGACATGTTATTTGAAAAGAAAAGGTCATGCCTAACAGTCCAAGAAATCTAGGAAAAATGGATACTTTCACTAGTCCCACAGGCTTCAAGGGTTTCAACTACGGAACTGTTATTCTCGGGTAAAATCGGTTGAATCATATTCAGAGAAAATAAAGAATACCTGTTCCCCAGGTGTGTGTCCTAGTTGTGAAAGCACATGCAGCAAAAAAGAAAAAAGAAACTGTAAGTAATATGCTAACTAGAAATCATAAAGAAATTTATGTGTTCCCTAATTATTCAATCTAAAATGAAGCAAAATCTTGAATCTTACCATACTTCTTTGGCCATGCTTGATCATGGAAGAAAATTTAACCACCAATATTAGTTTATACAATTTCTTTACAGGTTAAATTAGAAACCAATTCAGGAAAAGAAGCAAACAAAGTCTGATTCTAAACCTGGCAATATTATTTTTATCCTAAGCTCAGAACAGGCATGTGTGCATAATTGACTGTATTGTTGATATCTTATTTCATATATTTGAACCATTAATCACTAACCCCTATAATAATGACAAACATGTTGATGAGGTGCTTGACAAAGTATGGATACTCAAATTCAGGATTTTCTAACGAATAATCAAATTTATAGAAGCACAACAATAAAGGGATATTAGTATGGACACCAAGGATAGACACCGAATGCAAATTAAGCCGTACCTCAATGCAGCAACCAGCAGCACCAGCTGCAATCAATTCCTTGATAGTCCTCTGAACATTGAGAGCAGAGCCACCGCCAGTTTCTGAAGCAAGAAAATAGGAAAACCAGTTTAGTCTCCGAGTGGATTCCAACATATGCAACAGTTATAAGCGTAGCCACAAAAAGGATAAAGAAACTCTTAGCATTTAAATCAAATGTTGATGCATCGATGCAAATTTTTGATATATTGATACACATCTCAATACCTCAACAATGAAACAATTTACTTATCATGTGAGTAATAGCCGTGACAATGACAGTAGCTTTTTTCAAAACATACCAGCATCAACAATGATCGGGATCATCGGAGCCGCCGCACAGACAATCCTTGTCGCCGCCGCTATTTCCGGAGACCTCAACACCAAAATACACAATTTTATTTCGATTATATACAAATTGAGTTGACATTCTTTTTACTGTGTATTTATTGACTTTATTCCATACATATCTTTCATCTTTTTGTGCATAGTATTGCCTTTTATTTTTCAAAATTTTGAAAATCAAAATAAAAGGGGATAAATGCGCACGTTATCAAGCCAAAGTCTGGTTTGCCGAGGAGAGTTGCAGAGAGAGCGTAGCCGGAGATAAAACCGGCGTGAAATCCTAATTTTTGTACAATTGCAGCGGAGAGCGCATCGTAGCAACCTGGGATCAGTACGATCCCGTGATCCTCGACCAGACGGTGTATGCGAGTCTTCATCCTCACCGTGGGATAAGCTGACTTTCTGTTGCGACTAATGTTTGACCGCAACGTGGCGGATGATGTGTTACTTTTCACGTTGTAGCCAAGTGGCATCGGTATGACTGCCATTATCGTTGCCATTGCGCGCGAGAGAGAACAGAGACTAATACAGGAGGAAGTTTTGTGCGCGGTTTCTGAATTTAAACAGGGAGACGATTGGGAGTTTACGCGCCATGAAGGCACGTGTGGTATATTGGAAGAATTTTTTTTTTTTTTTTTTGGATAAGAACAAAGGCGGCACCAGTCACCACTTACCACCACGTTAATTGGGTGAATTTTATTTATCAAGTGAAAATAGAAAAAAGAAATTAAATGATAGAAAGTTAAATTTATTTACCAATTCCCATTTTCCAAAAGATAAATGAATTATTAGAAGTTAAATAAATAATTTAGTAATTAAGAAGGACGTAAATCATATTATTAACATAAGTTTTATGAAAAACGATTCAAATAAGTAGAGTTTGCTTCAACATCAAAAACTCTTGATAGTTTAATTTGAAAATAATTAAATAATTAAATATAGACAAATACAAATCACTCAAAAGTCAAACTCAAAGTATGATACTATTAACAACCAGTTACAATAGAATTTGACAAGAATAAACCTTCTAGGAAAACTATGGAAAGAATGTCTATATAGTATATATAGACTAAGCTACCCAAAAGATTTCGCTAAACACTGATAATATCTTTTGATCACTATAACTTATTTCATATAATAGTATGGATTTTGGAGGACAAAAGTATTATTTAGACATGGATTCTGGGGAACAAAAAGGTATTATATAATTACCAAGGTTTTGGAAAATCAATTACCTGAAGAAGCCAGAAATTTGCCTGATGGGGTTTACTTCATTATTCATGTTACATTCATTGATATTCTTCCAGTGTTCATTGAAGTATTCAAGTTTCATGTGACAAAAGAAATTATTATGCCTCAAAAGTCACGCTTATGTCAACCTAATAAATGTCTTTTTGTACTAATTGTCAAGCTTATATCTCCTCAAAGATATTCATACTGACCTTATCTTATTTCAAGAGATGAATGGATGAAAGCCTTCCATGTGTCAAGGTAACTTACAAAACATTCATTACATTGAATTTAAAGGTGTATAAATTTGCACTTCTCTTCCTAAAGAGGAGGGCGGGGCATATGAAAGCTAGACATATATTTGAGCTCAATTCTTTCTCTCTGTAAACATTGTATTTCTTCATCTTTGTATGTCTTACGGGCAATATCATAAAAATAGTCAGAGATCAATAAAATAACAGTGGATTTAGGAGTCATTTGTTTGAGCATCCGAACCACTATAAAAACCTCTCTTGTTAGCCTATTATTTATGTTTTCTGCAACATATATAATCTTAGCTCCATATTTAAATCTCATGAATCCATCACGTGTAATTTCTAAAGCTCTCTTAGCACTTTGTACGTGCAAGTTGTTGGAGTCCAAAATCACGCGTCAACATAAATTAATGTTCGATGCATGCAACACAGAAACTAATATTGGATTGACACTAAAGGTGGAAAAGTGACCCGCCCGGCCCGCGGCGGGTTACTTTGTTTGGCGGGCCGGGCCTAACCCGCCCGCCAGCAAAGGCAAGCCGGGTTAGGCCCGCCATTTTCTTCAAAATGGTTGGCCCAGCCCAGCCCGCCAGCCCTAACCCGCCGGGTTAGGTGGCGGGCTGGGCCGGGTTAGCCCGAATTTCCTTTTTTTTTTGTTTTTTTATTTAACTTTTCAAATAAATAATTATAAATATAATTGTTTTTAATTAACTTTTCAAATATCAATAATTCAATTCAATTTTTTTGTTTGTTAACATTTCAAATATTAATTCAATTTCGATACAATAAAATTATAATATAAGAAAAATTATTCATTTATCAAAAAATAAAATAAGAAATTATAACAATTATTGCCTCGTTAAAAACCTCACCAAGAAAAACCCAATGGGAGAAAAACTTGGTAAAGAAAAAAGAGTGCAATAATTGACAATTAATTTATAAATTACATTTTACAAAACAACTAATTTGGGGGTGGTTCACTAGGACCTCCCTCATCTGTATCATCTATATTACAAAATTGAAACGATTCTACTAAAGTATTGTCGATAACCTCGTATTGATCTTGATGGCGCGATCGTTCCCAATCTCGAAGACATGTGAGGACTTCAATCATTTTTGGAGCAAGTTTAGTCCTCCTTTCATTTAAAATCCTTCCACTTGCACTAAATGTTTGTTCGGATGAGACGGTTGAGACAGGAATTGTTGATATCTTATTTCATATATTTGAACCATTAATCACTAACCCCTATAATAATGACAAACATGTTGATGAGGTGCTTGACAAAGTATGGATACTCAAATTCAGGATTTTCTAACGAATAATCAAATTTATAGAAGCACAACAATGAAGGGATATTAGTATGGACACCAAGGATAGACACCGAATGCAAATTAAGCCGTACCTCAATGCAGCAACCAGCAGCACCAGCTGCAATCAATTCCTTGATAGTCCTCTGAACATTGAGAGCAGAGCCACCGCCAGTTTCTGAAGCAAGAAAATAGGAAAACCAGTTTAGTCTCCGAGTGGATTCCAACATATGCAACAGTTATAAGCGTAGCCACAAAAAGGATAAAGAAACTCTTAGCATTTAAATCAAATGTTGATGCATCGATGCAAATTTTTGATATATTGATACACATCTCAATACCTCAACAATGAAACAATTTACTTATCATGTGAGTAATAGCCGTGACAATGACAGTAGCTTTTTTCAAAACATACCAGCATCAACAATGATCGGGATCATCGGAGCCGCCGCACAGACAATCCTTGTCGCCGCCGCTATTTCCGGAGACCTCAACACCAAAATACACAATTTTATTTCGATTATATACAAATTGAGTTGACATTCTTTTTACTGTGTATTTATTGACTTTATTCCATACATATCTTTCATCATTTTGTGCATAGTATTGCCTTCTATTTTTCAAAATTTTGATAATCAAAATAAAAGGGAATAAATGCGCACGTTATCAAGCCAAAGTCTGGTTTGCCGAGGAGAGTTGCGGAGAGAGCGTAGCCGGAGATAAAACCGGCGTGAAATCCTAATTTTTGTACAATTGCAGCGGAGAGCGCATCGTAGCAACCTGGGATCAGTACGATCCCGTGATCCTCGACCAGACGGTGTATGCGAGTCTTCATCCTCACCGTGGGATAAGCTGACTTTCTGTTGCGACTAATGTTTGACCGCAACGTGGCGGATGATGTGTTACTTTTCACGTTGTAGCCAAGTGGCATCGGTATGACTGCCATTATCGTTGCCATTGCGCGCGAGAGAGAACAGAGACTAATACAGGAGGAAGTTTTGTGCGCGGTTTCTGAATTTAAACAGGGAGACGATTGGGAGTTTACGCGCCATGAAGGCACGTGTGGTATATTGGAAGAATTTTTTTTTTTTTTTTTTTTGGATAAGAACAAAGGCGGCACCAGTCACCACTCACCACCACGTTAATTGGGTGAATTTTATTTATCAAGTGAAAATAGAAAAAAGAAATTAAATGATAAAAAGTTAAATTTATTTACCAATTCCCATTTTCCAAAAGACAAATGAATTATTAGAAATTAAATAAATAATTTAGTAATTTAGAAGGACGTAAATCATATTATTAACATAAGTTTTATGAAGAACGATTCAAATAAGTAGAGTTTGTTTCAACGTCAAAAACTCTTGATAATTTAATTTGAAAATAATTAAATAATTAAATATAAACAAATACAAATCACTCAAACAGTCAAACTCAAAGTATAATACTATTAACAACCAGTTACAATAGAATTTGACAAGAAGAAACCTTCTAGGAAAACAGTGGAAAGAATGTCTATATATATACCAAGCTACCTAAAAGATTTCGCTAAACACTAATAATCTCTTTTGATCACTATAACTTATTTCATATAATAGTATGGATTTTGGAGGACAAAAGTATTATTTAGATATGGATTCTGAGGGAAAAAAAGGTATTATTTAATTACCAAGGTTTTGGAAAATCAATTACCTGAAGAAGCCAGAAATTTGCCCGATGGGGTTTACTTCATTATTCATGTTACAAAAGAAATTAATGTTCGAAGCATGCAACACAGAAACTAATATTGGATTGACACTCGTTGGCGTGCAACTTATTGTTTTAGATACGGCATTACAAGGGAGTGTGTTCAGGTTTGAACCATTCATTAATGAAGCAATGGACAAATCTATTGTCAAAGAGGGGTCGAGCTTGTTGGGAGAAAGTTGTTGTATTTGTTTAGAAAAAAATTTGGACGGAGAAGTTCTTTGCATGGACTGCTCGCACGCCCATCACCGAAACTGCATCATCAAATGGCTGGAGACGAACATTATTGATTTAATAAACTGATGGGTTTGCCTATATCATGTTTAATAAATAATTATTGACACTTGATATTATTGGAAGTGTTATGTTCTCTTATAGGAGTGAGGTCCTGTTTCAAAGTAATTTTAATGTTATAACCATATTAGGTTTGGGTATCCAAGAAATTGATGAATGGGTTAACCTGAAAGGGAATGACTCACCACTCAAAATTATATGCGGGCTTAGCATGGTCCAGCTTTCCAATCATGATTTTGTCCTAACAACTTCCTTCAGATTTAAATACCTTTCCTCAAGCTCGAACCAAGTCTCCAAGTTAACCAACTGATTGAATTCCTCAAAGGTCGCCATCTTTTCGATGTGATCTCTAGTAGTTCCGTTTAACTTTAGCTTCTTCAGAACATCAAGGCACGGGCCGATGCTTAGAGGGCTGTGAGTGGATGGACAAATCAGATGGAAACCAATTGCTTTCAGCTCCTAGGAGTGTGCAAGAGAGCAGGTCGACTCAAGAACATTTGTGACATTAGGTAATAGTTATTTTAAGGGTTTTTTAATAATATAAGCATATATTAAAAAATTATTTCAAATTTATTTTTCCTACCTTTTGAGATACAAAATCACTAATAAAATTTTTATATTCAAGTTTAAAAATCATATCTTTTTCAATTGATAATATAGTCTAATTTTCTAATTTTTTTTTGTGACATAAGATTTTATTAACTTTAATTTTGAAAAACTTGTTTCTGCTGAAGCTACAGTAACAGGAATAGTTAATGGTATTCTATAATCTATCCATGTATTTGGAAAAGAATTCACTTTTTTTTTTTTTTTTAATAAAATTTAGTATCTCAAGTGGTGTTTTAATTTCCACGTTAATAATTTCTTTTAAAACTTTAATTCCAAATACAAATATAAACCATCAATATTAGAGAGCATGTCATGTTTTAAAAATTTTTCAAGATTTAAATAATGTTTCTGCAAACTATCATCATCAAACAATTTTAACTTTTTTATATTATAAAGGAAACCAAAATTATTACTATATATTTCAAATTGTTCAAACCTACTTTGAAATGAGGAAATGGCATGATCAACTAAATATGTGAAATAATTTATTCTAAAAGATTCTTCAGCAGACAATTTCATCTCTTCGTTTTCATTCTCATCAAATTGTTTTTTTTTTTCTCTTTATTGTACGTTTTTCATGAAATTTTGGTTCTATATTCATTTGCTTTGCAATCTCTTTAGCAGAAATCATAGAAGATGTAAACCCATTTTCTCTATATTTTTCAAAAAATGAAACAAGACCTTTCAACTCATTTGTTGCAACAACAATGTCCATATTTTTAGATTGTAAATATTTACTAACCATATTAACAGCAAATAACATNGTGGCAGATTCTTGAGTATATGGAGTGTGTCATTTCTGATTTGAGAAGATTATTGCAAATTGGTACAAATGGAGTAAGAAGTACTGCAGATTATTGAGTATGTTGAGTCTCTCTGCAGTGTATTGATTTTTATTTGTTTCTGTTTCAATGGTACAAATGGAGTAAGGAGTACTGTAGATTATTGACATTTTGTTTCTGTTTCGATGGTATAAATGGAGTAAGAGTTCTGCAGATTATTGATATTTTTGTTCCTGTTTCAATGGTAATTTTTGTTCTTGTTTCAATGGTACAAATGGAGTAAGGAGTTCTGCAGATTATTGACAGTTCCTGTGTCAAAATGTTTCTGTTTGCTGGAGTTCTCTTGTTTTCTAGCTGTCATATTGCTTGAGAACTTGGTAGTTGCTGAAGTTGGAGCTGTTATATTGCTTGGGGAACTTGGCAGCTGCTGAAGTTGGAGCTGTTATACTGCTTTGGGAACTTGGCAGTTGTTAAAGTTGGTACAACTTGGAGCTGCTCAAGTTAAAAGACCAGGCACAATCCCAGTTTAATTCTGAAGGGAAGTGTTGAATAGAATAACCCCTGTTGCGTTTGAGGGGAGATGTTGACCAAAGAAAGAAAAAAGGGCAAAAAGGTCAAGACAATAGTTTTGTTTACTAGCTCATGCGGTGTCGTTTTTCATTATCATTGTCATCTCTCTCATTTCATATAAAAGAGAGGTCAACTGCAGTTTGTAATATACAGAAAAATAAAAATCAGATCTACGAATTTCAGTTCTCAGTTTTCTTTCAATTTTGTTCCAAATCTCATAATTCATAAGTTCCGTGACTGTGCCCCAACACTGTGCTGCAACACAATAGCTACTGGAAAAAGTGTGCCGCGGCACAGTAGCTGTTGGCCTTCTTCCTGCATCCTTCCACTATTCTTTAGAGATGGTGATTTTTTAGCTCGATAACGATGAAATTTGGAAAAGTGGTAAACATATGAAATGTATGTATCCCTTTAAATCAGCTTTCCAACGGTTCAAGAATCGTCTTAATCAGAGTTCTAAAGCTCAAGATATTCTCAAAATACCGAGGTATGCTCAAGCTGGAAGGTAATCTAGAATCTTCTCTTTACTTCAACTTCCATAACTTCTTCAATTCAACTCCGATTCTTGATCCGTTCATTTCCACTCGTCACTCATTCCGTTGCCAACATGATTCTTTATCCGAGCATAACATTTAAGCAGTAGTAGCCTGAAAAACACTCGTGATCCTTTAAAAGGCAATTATGAAAATATTAAGCAACTTTACCAAATTAAGCCTAATTTCCCACAATTGATCCCCATAAACCACTAACTAAATGTGTATTTTCAAGCTGTTATCAGTTTTTACTATAATAATATGAATACGATACAAATGTTTCATCATGCCATCAACCTAGTACCTTCACTTAGGTGGACCTCCCGTTCCTATGGTGTTTAATACCCCTTGGTATTTACTCAATACCCATAGTGCCCTTACATTAGAACCCCTTGTATCATCAAATTCTTTCTTTCTCTTACTTTCTCTCTCATAACCTTGAATTGGCTTTAACTCCCCTATTTATAGTTAAAATAGGACATTCTTATTCTACTAGGATTCATATTCTTTTTTATAATTGAACTCCTCTAATTTAAATCATTCTCCTATTTTTACTTAAATAAAGTCCTAAACCAATTCATCTTTCCTAATGGCTTTTTCTTTCTACCTGTGTTGGAGTCTCTCTTTTCTTCCTCATGTTCATCTTCTCAAGAACCTCTTTCCTGCTCGACGTAGAATTTTTGAGTTGACCATCCTGCCTACCTTCTTCTGCTTCAGGCGCTCAGCGTGACACTTTCCTCACCCAAATCTGATGACACCTTTGTCGTCATGGCCACCCTGCTACCACTCCCTTGTGGCACTTAGCGTGAGCCGAGTCTAGGATAGTTTGCTCTGATAGGCTCCAAGTTTCATCTCCTACAATCCTTTAAAAATAAACTCTGATTCATGTTAGAAATCTCAATCTGCTTTGATATCCTGTTGAAAATTGAAGGAGTATAAAAATTTTAAGATAAAGAACAGCACAATAACAACAACACATAGACACAATTTGCCTACATCCACATATGAGAGGTTTTTTGTTGTTGATTTTCTAATGTATGAAATCGTGCAAGTATTAAAGTGTATAAATACGGATATCGAACCCGAAGGAATTACTATATCAATAACCATTAAACTATCCTATTACTATTTGATCAATCCAAATGTATCAAGGAAATCTAACTAAATTAACAATTGACTTTAAAAATAAAACTGAAAAGAGAACAATTAAAATAAACCTTTGGGTAAAAACAAGATGACTAGACCTAAGACAAAGACTTCACCCCAACTCTTATTCATATGTATCGATCTCTTATGCTATTTTGTTAAGCTCTTCTTACAGGTCAAACTTCCTAAATTTTCAATAACTTTCTCTTGAACAATTATCAAATTAACCCCTAATTACTAACCCGAATTATCTCTAATCAGATTTAAGCAATTGGAGATTATTATGCTCTAT